GATACGTTCCTCCGAAACATCGGTTAACATCACATATACACGGTGCCAAATCCCAGAAGACTGCTTTCTTCATAGTCACCGCTGTGAAAGCCTCAAATCTTATTAAAAGTGTTGCTTGCATTTCTCTGAAATATTCACACTTATTATTTATTCCCTTCCTCAAACTTCACACTTAAACTTTCCAGTTTTAGCATGGCTATTCTTCTACAGCACCACCTTCCAGGTCTGTCATCAGCTACATTTCAAACTACAGAAGTTTATATTTTGAAGAAATCTGACATCACAGCTACTTTTTAACACTTCCCTTCTTTCAGGTTTCAATTTTTCCCCCACCTTAGATAGCCCTGAAATTTACTGTTATAATGCCAAGAGCAGTTACAGCTCAGAATTTGAATTTAGTGCCAGTATCAACCAAATGAATTCCGCTTTCCACATATTAAATAAATATCTACTCTTTTGAACTTCTGTAAGCAGAAAAATTTATAGTACTGGCAGTATGAAATATAAATCACATAACAGTGACAATAAGCTTTTTATCTAGTTTTATTTTAGTACTTCAGACTTCATGTGTTATAGCAGTCCTGTGTATTAGTTTTTTGGAGGCTGAAAGTTAAATGTTTAAAGACCAAAAATGGAGACTTTAGCATATGTAATTTGCTTACATCAACTGACGCAGGCAAGGAGTCTTAATAAATTGTGTCAGACCCTACTGTACCACCAACTGTAAACAGAATCAATAACTTCATCTACATAATGTACTTCTTTAATTACCATATTGATTACTTGTTTATTTGGAACTCTTTCCACTTTCCACATTTTTTAATTATGTCTAACTTCAGCATTGTACTATATGTTCTGTCACATAAAATATTGTTTGTTTCAAAGATGCAAGGAATTCAGTATTCCCTCTTGCATTTCATCCATCTGATCATGCACATGACCATCCTAAAGCAAAGTAAAAGGTGACTTCCTTATTTAACTTTCTGTATGGCTCCTTTCTCATATCATATTTCAACAGTGGAGTGAAGGACTGTATTCTCATTCATGCCACTTTTAAGTTCACTGCAACAAACACAAGTTCTATATATTTTTGTGCCGTATTTTTGCAGTTATTTCACGAGAACTTCAGCTCTTGTTTTGATTCCTGGAGTATCCTGTCTATAGTTTTAAAAATCAGATCTCATGTACCCCAGATGTACTTTTGCTTTTCTTCTTTCAGTTGACACAGCCATTGTTAGACAAAATTTAGTTTTATTTCTTTACTTATTTACTGTATTCTATTTTTCTTCATAAATTCTGATTTTTATAAATTTTGTTTGCATTTTCACTTTTTAAATATGAGTTACTCTAACTAAAGTAATTCAAATTACTAACATGTTCAAACAGTTCAGTTCCTATAACTAATTTAAATCTTATGTAGGTAGGGAAAGTCACAATGAATTTCAGCACTATTTAGTCATTTCTTATGTACAGAAATGTAAAAAAATTGTACTGTTTTAGGTGCATGCATATAGATGAAGGGACAGGAATACCTGTTGAAGTTGCTGATGTGTACTGTGATCCTGTGATGCAACCACCTGACCTCAATGCCTGCCATGTTGCCTGTCCTGGAACCTGCGTATTGGGACCTTGGTCAGATTGGTCAGACTGCCCTCAGGTTTGTGCTGCTATTGTTTTATCTGGAAGGCACTGTACTTACACCATCAAATATTTTGTGGATAATGTGTAACATAATATTGTGTTGGTCAAGTGAATTAATCATTTATTTTCTGTTGCAATGTTTATGTTCAACAGTGAAAATAAACTTCTAGTAATGCTTTGCCTTGTTCCTTTGAAGATAATTTATGTTATCTCTGCAGCTCTTACCACACAATTGAATTATTTATGTTGCCTGATGCACTGTTAACGTTCAATGCCTTAGTTACTGTTTATAAAGCTGATTAAAAGTGGCATGAAATATTACATGCTCTATGTGGAAAGTGACACAAAATATATTAAAAACTATTATTTTATTATTTTGAATTTTCACTGTTAAATTTTATCAAAATTTCTTCATAAAATGAAATATTTATTAGTTCTCATACTGAAACAAAGATTTATGCTATGATGAATACTGAATAAAACAACATTTAAATTGACATCTAAGAAGGAAGTAAATGAGGTCATTAGAGTATTAAGGGAAGATAATTCAGTCAAATGAAAATTTCCAAGTTATGTAGAACAAGCTCAGACAGCTTCATGATTAATACACTCATGAGACAGGGAGACTCCTTCTCTGGTGTCCTTTTTAATATTACTTTGGAAAAAGTTCTTAGAGAAATACATGTGAACCTAGGTGGCACAATTTTCAATATAGTACATCAGATACTGGCATATGTGGATGATATGGCCATCCATACCCACAATACAAATGCTTTAAATTAAGTCCTTGGAAAAATACAAACAATATCATCTTCTCTTGGGTTAATAATCAGTACTGAGAGAACCAAGTACATGCAAGGTGGTTGAAGGATTTGAATAGCAATAAATGCATTGCAGTAGGCAAGAATAACTTTGAAGAGGTCTCATCTTTAAAATATCTCGGCTCTCTAATAATGGGTAGCAATGACTCAGCTGTAGATATAACAGAAAAAATTGCTGTAGGCAACAGTTGTTTCTATGCCTTTGGAAGCGCCCCCAGAGTGAGATATATATCCAGGAAAATGAAATGAATATATATAAAACAATTATTCAAAATGCTGTCATTTTTGGTAATGAATCCTGGACACTTACAGAGAAATCAACAACTCCCATATCCTGGGAAAGGAAAATTTTATGAAGGATATATGGCCCTGTAAGCATAAATGAAACATGGTGAATAAGATCTAATGGTGAACTAGAAAGTCTATATAATAGACTGACCAGACAGTGTGACAAATAAAATCCAGAAGAACAGAATGGCTAGGACATGTTTTGAGAATGGAGAGCTGAAGGGCAGCACAAAAATCCTGGATGGCAGACCTGGGGTGAAAAGAAGAACCGGGAGACCGAGGCTAAGGTGGCTGGCTGGTGTTTTGTATGGTTTAAAAAATATGGGAGTAAGGCAATGGAGAAAGAAGGCTGAAGATAGACAAGAATGTGAAAATGTTAAATTTAAAAGGACCATATAGCCAAATAATAATAATAATAATAATAACAACAACAACAACAATAATAATAATAATAANAAAATATAAAAATTTAAGCATCGAAATTCAGCGAATGTGGAACATGAAATGTTTTGTGATACCAGTAATTATTGGAGCCACGGGTACAATCACGAGAGGGTTGAGAAAATATTTGGAACTAATTCCTGGTAAGCACTCCATAGATTCACTGCAAAAAACAGCTATCCTGGGAACATCACACATACTACGGAAAGTGCTACAGTGCGAAGCTTGAAGCCTGAGTGGTGAGGTGCATCACTGGTTCAAGAAAAGGAATACCAGGAAATAAACCTGTGACAAGAGATGATGATGATGATGATGATGATGATAATTTGTATACACTGTTCATATGTTTCATATGATTATATTATTCTACCAGCATTTTATAGGTGCTTTATAAAAAATTATGCTAATTGCTGCAGTATTCCCATAAAATTATGTAAAACAGTGTTTCCCAAACTTCTTTGCCCATGGAACACCAATGGCTCCAATAAATGCTGTTGGGATTCAAAGCTGAAACTGATAATCATGAATATAGAAAGATACAGAACAGGATGATTTTGTACAGGATACAGAAGACAGGGTTAAGAAATCTAGGAATTTTTATGATAAGATAATCTTGTACCAAATCTTCATAAATTAGATTATTTAATGATCCTGTTTCAATGACAATGTCAAATGAGGCTGGGAGATATGCATATGTGGTTAGGTAAGGATTTGGAAAATTGCAGTTCTTGGCTGAAGGTTTGACCTGGTATTTGCTTGAAGAGAGTGAGTGAAATTAAGGAAATCCTCAAGGTAGCCAGTAGCCTGACAAAGATTCAAGCCAGTTATCTCCCAAATACAAATCTTGGCTATTTTCATTATGCCTTCCTGCAGAGTAGTTTTATAAATGTAGGTCATTATGTTCAGTTGATTACCTTATCGGTATAAAGACAACTTCTTATATAAATTTCTATATTCGCAGCCCTGTGAATCTAGTCAGGAGCGGCAGAGGACACGCTCTATTCTTCGCAGCCCTGCAAATAAACATGATGCCAAGAATCAACCCAACTGTCCACCCCTCATCGAGGCACAAGCTTGTCACCTTAATGCCACTTGCTTTAGCTACAGTTGGCGCCACACAGACCTGGGGTCATGCCTGCCTCTGGGGGGCAGCCCTTGTGGGGAGGGAGTGCAGTCTAGAGCTGTATTCTGTGAACGGAGTGATGGGAGGCCTGTTGAAGATAGGTTAGCTTTTCCTTGTTGCCATCATTCGAGTTAAGAACAGTTTATATTAGACCATGACAGGCAAATATGAGAAATTCATCATTCTTTTCTCGCAGATCTGCATTGCTTATATTTCTTAACATCCATGTACTGCAGATGAAAAAGTTACTCATTGCAGAACAGGGCAACAGGAATGATAATTTTTTCTTCTGGGATTTCAGGTTCTCACTGCTTTGACTCTGAAGAACGCTCTTGTTCAAGATATAACAGTCTTAGAGAAGTTTATGAATGCTCCCCTGATGAAATGTTTGTAAATTTCTACCAAACTACGAAATGTCAGTCCCAAAAGACAGTATGCTTTCTACTTTTCCATTTTTCCTTATATTTACAACACTTTAAAATATATTTCAAACAGACGGGTCATAGGTCTCTTTTTTTATAACATGTACTTCTTTTTGTTGCAAAATCCGTTTTTGATTAAGTGAAATGGATTGAACCAGTATTGAACCCTTGGGCTACATTACCAGAGAGATGTTGCACATTTACTAAATTGTATGAACACACAGTATCCTAATAGCCGTCAGTAAGTGCCAGTAATGTCACTTGTATCCCAGAAGGTCACACAAACACCATATTGGTATTATTGCTGACATTATGAAGTGCAAAAGTATGATAACCTCCAGTGACATGGAATTTATATGTAGTTTCTCAGAAATTTGTCAGTTGATGTGAAAGTTACTGGGGCTATGGTTATATTGAGAGATAAGCACATGAGCACACAAACACATGCATACACATACCTTACAAATACCCATGCACACATATATGTGGACATGACAATATGATAGTCCTCCCTTTATTTTTATGGGAGGATGAACTAAAAATACAATTATTATTTTATGAACTGTAGTATCTAAGACATTCAGTAATTCAAATTTGTTGATGTGTAGATACGTTTCTATTTTGAAAATATCTTCTGGGATATGATGTCATGTAATCCATTGGAAGTCAACCAACATTTTGCAGGGAAATATCATCTACATTTTCAGATTTGAAGAATAAGCTGAGCAAGATGCCAGCATGAAAGCAGGTGGCTAGCAAAGCACATTATATCCCAGAAGACAGTACTCTTCATAACCACCACTATGAGAACCTCAAATCCTACAAAGTTTCTGTTTTATTTGTGTAGAGGTAGTAAGTTTAATTTACTCAGAGATGTACTGTAAGTAACAGATGTTTTAGACATAGCACGAAAGTTATGCATGGTTTCTGCAGATACTGTGAGGCTACTGGTGAAGTGCGTCCATCGGCTTCAGAGAAATGGTGCTATGTGGACTGCCCTGTGGACTGTGAAGTGACTCAGTGGAGTGCATGGAACCATTCTACATGTCGCTGTGGACTGACAGGTTGGTTAACTTCATTTCTTATTGGATTTTAAAGAAAAAATTAAATAAAAATAATTAACTGATTTTCTCAGCCTCATTTCTCTGTAAACACTATGGAATATACAGTATGTCATATATGATTAGAGTTCTTTACTGCATTATTCAAGGTGCTTTACAGGTTACCTCAAAAGGAGCCCCAGGAAGTGTTCAATATCATCCAATAAGGGCTTCAGCTAAAAAAAAACTTCAATCATTAAACCACCCACATGTATACTGTGGCATGTAGACTGGTTGCTAGGCAATGACTGTCAAACAGCCAACTATACAACAGCCTACGCTAAGTAACGGCTCCACAAACAGGCATATTTCCATGGCATCAAGGGAATACAGCAATAACGGAAAAGAAGTTTTCTACATGGCCTATGCCAAGGTGTTATAACAAGGATCAGTTAGCAGTTGCAGTCAGTTCCCTGCATGGAGTCAAGTTTGAATACCTTCACCATAGCCCTGCAAGTCATAGCAGAGGATAGAAAGGGAACCTAGGGCCTGGGGGTATAACTGGGCCACTCTGTTCCTGGGTGATATAAATACGGGGACCTGGCCCTCCAAGTTGGAGGGGTATGGAATCTGAGGCAGTAAAATATGGTCATGGGTTCTGTGGGACTTGTACCTGAGACTGTGCTGGCAAGGACCACGAGAACTGTAAATGACAGATCTGTCCGCTTGTCATAGAAGGTGCCCCACGTCAACCAACCTGCAACTGTCTGACAGTAAGAGAAATCTGGTCTTGAGCCCCAGATGGGGACGTCACACCAAGAGAGACTGACCAACTGACCATTGGTCATAATGTGGCTTTAATTTTAATTTTAATTTAGTTGCAGTCAATTAGAAAATTGCTAGGATTCAGTTGTTGTGAGCTACTGCTATTAGAGGCTGGTAGCTGAGGCTGGGAACAGTTCGGAAACCCAGAGGAAGGAGAGCATCCACCATTTTAAAGCTACTACCAAGCAGTGGCAGTAAAGGTGTGATTGTGGACACTATTGTGTGTCTACTTAGCGAACCGTTAAGTGTAATCACACACTGTATCAAAGTATGTAATAAATTGAGTCACCAATAGTCACATTCGTACATGTAACCGTATATATCCCAAACACAATAGCAAGGTTCTCCACAGTGGATGACCTTGGGGACAGAAGAGGATACTGTCATTTGAAGGAGAAAGCTCTAGATCGCATTAAGTGGAGGAATTGTTTTGAAAGAGACTGTGGACCTGTCGTCTTGACAGATTACTGATGATGATGATTCCATACTTTATATTATTGTCCCTTCATAATCAGTTTTCAGTATCATCTGACTGTATGAGGCAAGCTATTTGGAGCTGGAAGAAATTAAGTTCCACAGATAGAGAAAGTTACATAAATAGGAGCACTATCATTTATACTCTTTGATTATATCAAGGGTGAGGCGGAGATAATAGGTAGCATGAATGTAGCAGGAAATTTTAGTCAGGAAATCTCAAAGGAAGAGACCACATGAAAGATCTAGGCATAGCTGGGAGGGTAATATTGTAATGTGGATCTTATAAAAATGTGGTGTGAAGGTGTGGGCTGGATTTAGTTCCTTAGGACAGAGTCAAATGGCAGTTTTATGAATGTGATTATAAAGCTTTAGGCTCTGTAAAAGCACTTTATCTACTGAACAAATGTCAACTGCTCAACTGAGGTGAGTCATGCATATGTAGACTCCTGTATTGTAGGGAGTTGGTTCAGAATCAGCTACAACATTACTCAGAGATTAGTAAACTAGAGTGCCTCTGTGTTATAACACACTTGGTTAGTTATACATCTCAGTACCAAACAGCCCATCAGCAATATGCATAGGATTTAGATTGGTGAGATAAAAATATATGTATGTGAGAATTACAATTGCCCGACTTTCATTTATTATGGCTAACAGTAATCAGAATTATTGTTGTCACAGGTGATGTGATGGTTAGGGAACGCCATGTAGTGACACAGCCCAGTGAGAGAGGCCGTCCATGTCCCCAGCCACTTATCCAGCACAAACCATGCCCTGCTGTGCCATGCTACTCTTGGCATCGTGGATCTTGGAGCTCATGTAACCTGCAGGTAAGATCGATTTATTTATTTACTTGTGGTTTATCTAACAATGCTGTGAGTACCTCAGACTGTATAGTTTTGAAGCGGGGGTGAATGATTGGTGAATGATATATTGGACTGAAAGGAAGTGGGGTGTGTTCCAACTAATATACCATCCCATGGATGGAGCAATTTGAGAGAACTGTGAAAAACCTCAGGAATGTCAGTACCCTGACTGAGGTCCAAACTGCACAGTACTGAATACATGTGACAAACATTATCACTTAAGTCAACTGTTAGAGTTTGTTAATTATAGCATATCTCCAGAACTATATACAAAATGAAAAGTTAAAATAATATAGCATAGGGCCTTATTAACCTTTAAGAGCCGGCATTTAAACCCCCCACGACTGCGCTGCTGCCGGAGTTAATTTGACGTTGCCCTTTTAATATTGTAGACTTTCAGAAAAAACTACATATTTTCCGTTCTATGCAGCTTAGAAATACGAACTAAAAACTGCCTGAAAGAGAATGAAATTTCCTACAATATACCTATGACAATTTTTACAAATAAAAATTAACTGTAATTGTTATGTCATGAAATTCAAAATATACTCTCTATTATATGTGTAATGAAATTCCAAAAGACTTACCCATAAGTTTTTCTTCAAATTTGAGACGTCGTTATATCCAAAATACATTGACACTATACACCAAAATGTTTGGTCAGACTGTACACAAGTTTCAACTCGTTGCGTCGTGTAAGTTTACGCTACTATAGATACTGCGTGCGGGAGCGCGGAGAGGCAGAGTTTGCTTCAGCGCGTTGTGAAGGTCACACAGACCTCACTTCTCATACGCTGGTAGACAATCTGGTTCAGTCTCTCGCTTAGCGAACAAACAGGAAGTTATTGTTCCTATCTGACTGGCCGGACAGTGTTGTCAATGTTCAGTTCCAGATGACTCAATGAAAAATCTTGGCTTCCCCAGAGAAACAGTCCGCCACTGACTCACAAGCTGATAATTCAGACACTCACTAAACACGTCACACTTCCTTGAGAGCTACAGAAGCCGTGATCTGCCCGCACAGAGGAATGTTGGGTCAGCTTATCTGTGAAGAAGCTTCCACTCTGTTTGGCTGACCAAGTCACAAACAGTCTTACCTACATGTAAACGAAATCGAACCCAGTGCCATGATGAAGGGTTTTATTGTTCAGAGCCAACAACTGGACCTCTGACTTGAACTTGCGTGTGTTTGTTTTGGTTTCAAACTCAACGTCTAACCGTCAGCACTTCTAAAGTGAGCACGTGTCTTGCGTCCAGTATACTGGACTTTCGGCATCTTCGAGGTCACAGGTACCGTCCGGTATACCGGACTTTCGGTCGTTAAAGGTTAATGGAATGAATTGTGGCTTGAATGTCATATAATTATTTTGGACAAACAGATGTTATGACTATTGCACTCAGCTAGTCAATATGGTTTGTAAAAAGTAAAGCTATCCATGTAACAGGCCGTGAAGGCCCATAGGGTTGTGAGATGTTGAGGGTCCCACATTATCTAGACAGTCGGCTCATAGATGGCCGTAAGGTTGCCAGGCTTACGCGCTGGCCGCGCTTTACTCCCCAGGAAAATTGATATGGTTTGGGACAGGTCCTAAAAATTTCTTCTTCATACAGGTTAATATTTTGTAATTTTTGGATGGGCATAGTGTCACAGTAATCCATTCTTTAAACATGTTCTTCCCAGTTCTTCTGTAATGTATATTATTTACTATTAGTTAATTTTATAGTATTGTCATTATTTTATAAACAAAATATTTGTAATCTGACGTTTTTCACATGAAACATGTCATAATATCAGTTATGAAGTAGTGTGTTTCCTGAACAGGGAGCATGGTGTGGGCATGGCATAATGTCTCGTAATGTGACATGTCTGCGTGAAGGCACCACCCCAGTGGAGCAACACCTCTGTCAGGCTGCAGCAACATATACTGTGGACCTGAAAAATCAGGAGCGCTGCTATGCTCCATGCAGAGGAGACTGTCGTGTCTCAGAGTGGAGCCATTGGTCTCACTGCCACCGCAACTGCCAGGCTGCTGATGTAGGTTAGTTTATGGTGGATTTTATTCTGTACACCCCACAGCAAAGATGTACTGTGCAAGTAACAGGTTGGGCCACACTATAGGTCAAGTGGTTAATCACTGGCTTCCCACCAGGGCGGTCCGGGTTCAATCCCGGGTCTGCTCAAGTGGGATTTGTGGTGGACAAAGTGATGCTGGGGCTGGTTTTCTCCGAGTACTTCGGTTTCCCCTGCCAATCTTCATTCCACCAAATTCTCCATCATCATAATCACCCGGGGCAGGCTACAATAGGTCGATCAGTGGCCGCTGTGCCAAGTGGACCCAGTTGGACTCCACCCCCACTAAGTGAAATAACAGGTTATTGATAAATGCTATAATTGGACATGGACATGATCAAAATTGACTAAATACAGATGGTTTTATTGACTGATTGATTCAAAAGTTTGCAAACAGCATTCATTATTATGCTTAACACTTTGCGGACCAGCGATTTAAATATTTAAATCACCCTGGGGACCGGCATTTTTATACCTACTACCCTAACTTGTGCACTGTTCACTTTAAAAATTAATATAAAATCTCCTAATTAATTTTATGAACTAAAATTTTTGGAGGACACTTACCAATGCTGCTAGAAGTGCTTAAGTGTGTGATATTTCTGTTAACACTCCCCTTTGTGAAGTGGCATTACACACTTGCAAATGTAGACAGTCATAGTCTTTTTTTGTGAACTGCGCAAACATGGCATTGCCTAGAAGGATGCTTCCCATTGGAATGTTCACTCTTCACATTTTTCACGAGGGTATGTTTTCGCATATCACCCGAGAGTCGCCCAGGGGTGTCCACATGAGGCGTGTGTGGTGTGTGATTTGATGGGCTAGGCTGCACTAAGTCTGTCTGACTCTGGTTCTTTCACCACCATCTGGTCTGTAGCCCAAGCCTTTGCCACATTCATCAGAAATGCTTTGTATTTCAATTTTGAATCAGGTTTTAGATTTTTTTAGATTTTTTGCTGTGCCTGCAATGTTACTACGCGCAGTGTTATTACCTGCATTATCGTCGGAGCTACTGTCAGTTTTACAGTCTGTGGCCACAATTCTTTGTTCTCCCCTTTCACTGCCGCTCTCTGAATCACCATTACTATGCGTCTCACAGACAAGCCAGGTCAGCTAGGTCTTCGGAGGAGAATTTGTCCTTGATCCATTCTCCCCACTACCTACTGGCTGATACACACAGCTTGAAGAAGGCAAAGCATTTTCCTTTATAGTCGGTTAAGTAAACATCAAGGCCAAGTTACTGACGGCTAACTAAACATTCCAGAATCTTATCACGCATCTGCAGGCGGTTGCGTGCAATGTAGGTGGCGCCAGAGTGATGTATAGCGTGTTGCAACTTATCGTGTCACAAAGGGCCAATTGGCCCGCCCGGTCCGCAACGCTATAGAAACGTAGAGGGCCAGTTGGCCCCTCCGGTCCTGAATGTGTTAAAGTAAGTATCCTGCATATTCGAATATATTTACAGGAGGCTACCAGACAAGATCAAGGGCAGTGCTGAAGCCACCAACACCAGGAGGGGAGCCATGCCCCACTGCTCTATGGGAAACACGCCCCTGCTTCACTGGGCCTTGTCTCACGTTTGGCTGGGTGGTGTTAGATGATGGACGTACCTCCTGTCAGCGCTCTGATGGTGTTATTGTTGTGGGTAAGTTCCTTTCATATCTTATTTTAGCATTTTTCAGAATCCTTATTCTTATGTGTTTTTCTGTCTCACTGATAATGCTCACATGGATGCTGGTACTCTGAAACCAACAAGAACATGAAATTTGAAGTTTTCCAACATCTGACTGAATCTCTGCTATCTGAGTTCCACCTTTTTCAACCTTGTGTAAGCAGCTGTATGAGATTGAAATTTCTCTGGTAATGATGAAATGAAAGCAGCAATGAAAGAATATCTCAATGCCCAACTAAAAACGTTTTCTTGTATGGTATCAGGAAATGTGTCTTTATCCACATGTACTGGAAATGCAGTGTGGTTATGTAAGGAAAAAGACATGCTTAATCATCATCATCATCATCATCATCATCATCATCATAAAATTACTTTTAATTTGTGAATTTTATGTTTGCAGAAAATGCCCTGTCCTAGATCAGTTAAGAAGAAAAGCTGAATAATAAATGGCATAAATTTTAGTCATGGGAATTGGCTGAGGCAATAGAGAGAGGACAACTTGAAGACATGTGGGGAGTGGAAATGAGGGCCCACACATTTTTAATGGGGGCAAGTGGTCAGCTTCACACTCCACCCACATTATCTCCAATGAAGTAGCCTTATGTAGGATGGTGGGTGGGCCCCAGAGCTATCCTGGACATAATTGAAAACAGGAAAATTGCTCCCATACTGAAAAGTGAACCCTATCATCTTGTCCATTGCCAGACACTTTGCTGTTCATACTCTCTCAAATCTTTCCACTATTTACAAACATAATGTAGCATGTAGGGGGGCACACAGTAGCATAGCTGGTTGAGGCACTATGCTACAAGCCGGAAGGTTGAGGGATTGAATCCCGATGAGGTGGATTTTTTCAATTTACCTAATCCTTCCAGCCGCACTATGGCCCTGGGGTCGACAGCCTCTAACAGAAATGAGTGCCAGGATTATTCTTGGAATATTCTTGGGGTTAAAGGGCGGCTGGCATGTAAGGCTGACAACCGTACCACCATCTATGAACTGATTGTCTAGAAAATGCGGGAACCTCAACATCTCACAACCCTGTGGGCCTCCATGGCATGTTTCAGTGATAACTTTACTTTTTTTTTTTTTACTTTTAATGTAGCATGTAGACCCATTGCTAAGTAACGACTGTAAACAACATCTGCCTCTAGGCAACAGATTCCTAACATGCACCAATGAACAGCAGCAGAGATACGGTGTTTTCCATGTGGCCCACTAAGCAAAAATTGAACAGCAACAGAGGAACGGTGTTCTCTATGCAGTCGGTGCTGAAATGTTAGAAGCAGGACAATTAGTGAGAGAGTGCGGTGCAGTGCAGGCAAGTGAAAAGTTGGTTAGTGAGTTAGTCAGAGAACTTCAGTTCAGTCATAGTGAGTTGTTGCTGTTAGAAGCTGGTAGCTGAGGCATGGCGATAGTTCAGGAACCCAGAGTAAGAGGAACGTCCACCAGTGAAAGCCATTACCAGGTAATGACTGGTGAAGAGACAGCAGACTCAGAAGGCTTAGTACGTGCTATAGTGAACTGCAGAGGGTGTGAATTAGTGATAACACTATAGTTAGTTGCAGTTATGATCTGTAAGTGGTCAATAAATCCAGTTACCAATCAAAATCCCGCCTGTAGTCACTTATACACATAAAAATATTTTTAAATTTTATAGATTGCATCCTGTTATGTATATAATATTTATCATATGTTATAACTGTCAACACAACAAATAAAGTGGGAATATCTACAATGAAAACAATAGATATTGGTATATAGCTCACTTATTTAATGTAAGTGTAAATTGGGCTACATGTTTCAACCTATAATTTAGGTCATCATCAGGTACCTCTCTGTGATCTATAACTCAAGTGATTAAAGTCAGTTGGTCATAATATGGATCCATATTTATGCAACTGATGTCTGCTGTTGCAATATTTTTAAATAACTGTCGGTAATTTAGGGCAGGTTAGGGTTGCATCACCTAACACTGTTGCATTCTTTCAACTTTTGTTGTCAGGTGGATGTGAAGGGAAACCCAAGCCATGTACTGGGGATGACTGTGCAGGTGTAGAGCATGCATATTGTGACACCCAGCTGGGTGTATGTTTGTGTAAGCCAGGATATGAGCCGCAGTATGACCAGCACCAGCTGCTCCTCTGTTCAGAGAATGGACAGACAACATCAGATGACAGTAATGCTCAACATAAGACTGGCACAACTGCCAGTGTGGTCCCTCCCCTCCACCAGGCTACAGCATCAGAAGACAAGATTCAGTCCCGATTCTATTACCCACGTAAGTGGAGTTACATCATACCTTTCATGAGGAAAGGCCATGTTTCACACTGACTTTCACACATAACAGACTAACTTGATATTATAATAACATGTCTTGACTTCTGTTTGTGAGACACCCCATTTTAGTCCTGACTGAGTACCAGGTGTTGTATCTGAGGATTCTGTGCCTTCTATCTGTCTTCCTGGTGAATATCAGGATATCAGATAATTCTTGAAGTAAGCCTGGCTGCCTACTTACCAATTCACATGACACAAGAAATGTGTCAGTTGAAACAGTGTTGTTAAATAATCTGTGAACCAACCAACATATGCCTCCTGCAGAGTTTAATACCATTTCTAGGGCATATTTAGCACTGGACCCTCAAGCTCCAGATCGACAAGCATCCAGTTTTCAAGTCTGTAACCTTCAGCCATTTCCAGTTTGTTTCCATGTTGTCACTCTTGCTTCACTTTAACAGCTTCATCTGACTGAGCAAAATCTCTTAATATTCAATGCATTACTATGAAACACACCTATATACTGTATTAGGGTCACCTTGATTTCATATTCAACAATAAAATTGCAGATATTTACCAATATCTTTGAAATCATGTCTGTCAGAAGACATTTTCATGTGCCACATTCTGGGGAATGACTCTCAGATGTGATAGATTAGCACAGATCTTAAAGAAGTGCAAATGTGTGTGATTTGTTTTGTTGTTATATTTAAATAGCAGTTACAGTCACTCAAGATATATCACAGTGCATGAAAAATAGAGTCCTTAGTCATAAAACGTTTATCACTGATGATAATGACACAAAGTATAGTGACAAAAAGATGGGGAGATTGTGAAAAAGAAAACGTCAAGCATTTTAATTTCAGTTTAGACGGGATCCATTATGTGACTGCTGGAAAACTGTGATGTAGGATAAACAAAATAAAGAGAGAGAGAGTTGCAGTTTTGGTTTTGAAGTTCTTACAGTGGTTGCTATAAAGAGTTCTGTTTTCTGGGACATAATGCTATGTGGGCCAGCAAAAGTCATCCAACGTTTCATAGGAACATATCATCTCCATCTTCAGTGTCAAAGAGTAAGTCAAGTAAGAAACCAGCTTGATGCCTGCCCCATGTTTTTTTTTTGCTTAATGACCCTGAAGATGGAGGCACTTTGTTTCTCCAGAATGGTTGTCAGTTTCTTAGTGACTACAAGGCATATATTCCAGAAGACAGAAAGTTTCAGTCTAGGACTCTCTAAAATATTGAAAACTAAAAATATGTGCATCATTTCAGAGGACAATGACATCAGTGTGTGGATGTTTGCTATGATTGGGATTGGCTGCGTGTTTGTTGTTTTCGTTGCAGTATCCATCTACCTCATGTGGTGAGTTACAGAAATGGCCTAAAATTCAAAGAATATTATAGATGGCAAACAATTAAATTTTACTAAATCTTTCAGAAACTTGGTTTGTCATATATTACATTCTCCCCTAAAAGGCTGTATCTTTAAAAGTGTTCTAAGTATTTTTTTTTTATCATACGTATTAACTATTTTGTGATTGGCATTTCAAAGAGGGAAACTTTAACTATAATAAGATGCTCATGGGGAACTGGAAATATCACATATGGTGCCAGAGACTTGTTATTTAGTGCCATGAAAGCAATAATTTTTCAGGGTGAAACTCACTTTTCTCCATCCTATGTATATAGAGATAGAGTGTAGGATACAATGTATAGTTCTTCTGAAATCAGCCATAAGGTGCTAAAATAAGAAATTCATCATTTGGTTCATTTTAATTTAGTTTTGAAATATCAGGTCACATGAATAATGAAATTGTTTTACTTCTCACAAAAAGAACTTAAGTTACAACAATTTTGGATGTGGTGGACAGGCATAGAAGGTAGCTTGTGATCTGGCCACTGTATGGTTGTACTTACTGCTATGAGATTCCATTAAACTACTGACAGCAATTTTGCTGGGATACTTTGTTAAACTTTTGATGCTTACCTGACAACATGTGTAACAGTATTTTAGACAGTGATATCTTGTGAAACACTGTTCTCTTTGGAGAGATATGTGGTCTGTCTTTTAAATTTCATTTGTCTTTGTTTTCATTTATATGTTGAGATAAGACACAATTTTGTTTGTCATAGTGTATGTAAACCTAATGGCCACTGACATCAATCAAGAACCACAAGCCTTCAAATCTGTTGCAACACGAAAGTCAGTTTCATTCCTTGCTAACTAGTGTGAAACAGAGAAACAGGGAAATCTCTTTTCACTGTGACTGTGGAACAGGAACTATAAATGGCATATTTTTTGTCATAGCTCTGAAATAACAAGTTGAAAGCAACATATTTACCAAATATTTTGTACTGCTAAACACCTCTAGATATGTCATGAAATTTATGATTTCACAATTGAAACACTGTGCATAACTGCTTTCATCCAAAGACAGAAAAGCTTCATCACATTTGCTAAGTCTTGTTTTCCATATTTTATGCATTAAAATTACTAGAAGCTAAAATTGAACACATTACTGCAGCTGATAGCTGTAGTACTTATAAAATAATATTTATAAACCATCACAGATGAATATCAGCATCATTATTAAACTACAGTGTTCTGTTAAGGTCAGTATATGCATTTGTTTCATGCCCTGAGTGTCTGACATAGGTAATTCTCAGAGGTAAACACTGGTATCTCATGGATGTTTGTGGAACACTTGTGAATCCTTTGCATTAAAGTTAAAAGATAACTATACTGAAATTTCTTTAATTCAAGAACTGACATAAACAATATAAAAATTATCACTTAGTGAAGTGAATGAAAATAACACTGAAATGGTTGATGTAATAATAAAGATTGATACTGTATTTTCTGTATTTGCAGTTTAGGACATTGCATACAGTTCACTATATGATAATATATTACACTTTGTAAATCTCAGTTTCACACTTCATTAATAGATGAAGGCATCTGCAGAGTGAAAAGTAAACTGACTGTACTGAACAGCTATGTTACTTTTCATAGACCGTGTCCTAGATTGTAAATATATATGTGATAATAATAATATTATAAATTCAAAATAAGTCTTCAAAGCTATAGGAATTTTTCCTACATCTGTGTATTTAGTGCATTGGTCCTTTAAAAGTTTAGAGTATGAATCTGTCATAACAGTAAAGTACAATTTGAAGGTTTTGTATCATATATTCAAGATATTAATTAAGAAAGAATGGGATGATAATATCAAAATGGATCTTGAAGAAACAGGATGACAGGATGACAGAATGTGGACAAGATCCACCTGATGTAGGGTAGGAACCAGTGACAGGCTCCTGTGAACATGTTAGTGAATTTTGGATTCTGGAAAATGATTGAAATATATTGACTAGCTTAATAACTGTTAGCTTCTCCAGAAGGACTATCCCATTAACTGGTTATAAATGAAGAGGGGGGCATGAGTAGATTACAAAGTTGGCACAAATTACTGAAATGGGGTAGAATCTGATATCAGGCTCTGAAATGAGAAATACTGCAATATAAATTACAGTTTATCCAAACTGTAGGATAGTTCTTTCGTTTTTCATGAATTAAGTCTTCTTGTCTGCTCAGTCAAGAATTAACTACAACTGTTTTTACAATATGAGAAACTGTAATTTTAATTTTTCTTGTTTTCTTTGTTTACTGTTGATGGAATTCGATTTTGTTTAAGGAAAACTGATATATAAATATACATATATTTATATAATAGCCTGATGCAGAGAAGTTTTATATTTAAGTTATTGGCAGAAAGGATCAAATAAACAGTCTTGACCCATTGCTATTAATCGCACTTCTCTCAATTTTTTAAATGCCGTTGAAGACTATCCATCATGAAATTACCAAGGAATATAATCTCAAAACTTCAATTCACAAGTGCAACAAAGAAACACAAAATTTGTGAAAAATATTTATAATTCTTCTTCTTCTTCTATGGCGCAACAGCCTGATGTTGGGCCTTGGCCTTCCTTATCAAGCCCCTCCATTCCTCTCTATCCTGCACTGCTCTCTTCCAGTTCCTTACACCCATTAACTTCTTTGCATCATCTTCCACTGCATCACTCCATCTAGTTCTTGGTTTCCCAGCACGTCTCCTACCACCTATTGTACTGTATAATATTTTCTTTGGGATACGCTCCTTATCCATTCTCTGTACATGTCCAGCCCATTAATATTTATAATTACATCCTTCATATTGAATTTCATAGCTTATTGGGAAGTAAATTTATGCTTAATGTAGTCTCCATATATATTTGACATGAAGTATATTAATAATGTTTATTTTTCACAAATCTTGTACAGTTAACAGTTTGTAATATGTGTGTTATATTGTTCTATGATTGTGTTGTTCACACAGTGCCCATTAATAGCTAGAGTGAATTAAATGAAACTTGAAGAGTTGGTTCAGATGATACATAAGGCATGATTACTATGGGGCTTTTCCATGTAATATTAAAAAGATTATGTATATATAGAGATCTAAGCAGGTCCTGCAATGTATTTATCAGATAACTGCTAAGAAGATAATTCCTAATTCAGTCACATAATATTATTTCAGGACATGTTTTGCAACATTTAGATTTGTGGCTTGGTAATAGGGAAGTTAGATTCTTAACTATGTTTATCAATCATCAGAAAACTCCACTTGTTTATACTGGTCCCTGCAGATGCCTTTCTGCTAGGTTCATACTGTTCACAAGTGTTGTCAAGAAAATATGTTGAAGTCGGTTTTAAAATAATCAGCTTTTTTTACTAACATGCATGACCAACAATTATTGCAGGCGAATTGCAGTGGGAAAGGCCAACTGCACAGAGGAAAATCGGGGCCCCACACACCAGCGGTTCCCTTAATTACATGGTTAGTGGAAAAAACTGATATTTAAAACTGAACAACTCTAATTATAACTCACAGTGTGTGGTTGGCAGTTCTTAGAGCTCAGATATGACATGTTGCAGTAATGGCAGTTGGAACATTGTGGGCCATCACCACTCAGGGCAGTCCCTGCCGCCACCGCAGCCTGAGAAGCAGCAAGTGGGTGCAGACGTACCAGAAGCTAAACCTTGACAAGAACTTACTACATGTGGTCTGTAGATTCTGCTATGGTGATTATTTGAAGTCACTGTCTGAGGTGGAGATGGTGTGTTGAGAGTCTGGTTGCACGTTGCAATGTTGACTGTGGTCTGTCTACTGGCTTGTAAAACTGAGGACATGATAAGAGAACTTGGGTGCATAAGACCATCAGAGAGTCACAGATGTAAAAGTTCTGTATAAACACAAAAGAGATTATTGTATAGGTACTACACAGGATTTTGTTGTAGTGCTCTCACGGCTTTGAATTAATGAAAATGTTACAGTGTGCGTAAAGTATGACAAGAGTGGATGGGTATGTTGTAGTGGGTTGCAATTTCCCAACCGTGTTCTTTTATTTCACATACTTCATTGGCCTTGATGTTTATTTTATTAAAGATTAGATCTATAATTGCAGAATTGTTTTCACTACAGATATTACATTGCTTAGAGCCAGAAATTATCTTTTCTCATATTCTGTTAAACACTGGTCACCTTCATAAATATGTTCAATAAAAGCCATGTGTCCTAATGAGATCTATATTTGTGGTGTACACCATTTTCTTGTGTACAATCCATTTTTGAGAAAACAGAAAATTTGATTGTGCTTCATGTAATATAGGGATTATGTTGGACCAACACGAAACAAATTTACATTTATCTGAGCACTTTTATATATACCTCTTCACTCAATTCAAAACTGAACTGAAATTTATTCATCATTTTTAGAGACAAAACATGTGGACGAATGGACAGTACCTTACTACTTTGCTCAGTGGCCTGAGCACTTGGGGTGACTTGGAAGTTATATTCTGTAAGTCAACAAAATAGAATAGAATTTATGCTTAATTTTAAGTACTTCATACAAAGTGCATACAAACACTGACTTTATATCTAAGATAATTACATTTTCTCCATACTTTTCACATTTACCAGCAAAATTCATCAATATAAATGACTGTGAATTTCTACTTGCCAGGTTCAAAAGAAAAAGTAATTTCAGACAAACAGGCAACTATATTTTTCAAGCCCTTTGACCTGTACAAAGTAAAAACACATTTGCTATGCTGTGGATTTCTGTAAGATATACATCAGTAGTTCCAAAGAACAATGTGGATGAGCATGATAAAGGAGGACCTGTAATTCAGATAATGTAGATATACCAGCTTATTGACCGTGTCACAGTTTCTTTTGTCATTGGTGCTCAGTCCATACAAAAATGCTTCTTCTTTGATAACAAAACAATGGCTTTGTGGCCATAATTTGGTGCAGTTGGTTTATGTATTTTGTGAAGAGCAGACACAAGAGTTCATACTGGAAAAAAAGTGTAAAATTCTAAGGTATGAAAGCAGAACTTATAAACACTTTCCTTTTATTTGTGATAATAAATTTCTGAGATACCCTTTTGTAAAAGTTGTATGTTCCACTTTTTGCACATATTATAGCAATGAGCATAAAGGCATATGCATATGAAGTATCGAAGCACCTGGAAGCCAATTACAACATGAATCATAATCAGATATTAGTCATGCCAATACTTTTATTGAGGAATGAGCATAGATTTGGGCTTAAGATGCTGACAAAAAAAATCCTTCTCTTTTCTGTTACACAATAAAATAATCTAAAATAGTTTTCTGATTCATGCATTTAATTTGAGAGAATTAATTATTCCTGCAGCTGTGTATGAATGAGTACTTTTAGGTTTCCACGTTTGAAATTGTTCTGCTCAGGACAGCCTGATTTCCTCAGAGAAGGGGAGAAAGTAAGCTGCAGAAAAAAGGGAGAATGGATTGGATGGTAAAGAAAGAAGTGTAGTTCAGCAATATGCCAACATCACCTCTTTAAGCTATCATACTATGTATCCAAACCTGACAGCTCAATCTGGCCCCTATTTACAGTGTATATAATTTGCTTTGTTTAGTGGAGATGCAAATATTCAGTAAATATGAGAACTTAAAAATTCAAGAAAGATGAAAACACTCCACTCAAGATATGACATTCACATGACATGTATATGGAAATTTCGGTTTATAGTTGCAGTAAATTTGAAATAAAATTTGTTAATATAATTGTTAATATAATTATTGACTTTTTGGACATTATCCATCATCTAGTTTTTTAAACATTCTGGAGATGGGACTCAGTCTTTGTCATCAGGTAACAGCCTACTAAGTTGGGCCCAATTGAGAGAACTAGATGGAGATGAAGTTCAGTCTCCAACATGTTGTTTCTGAATTGAAAACAGGACAATGGATAATGTTCAGAAAGTCAAAATTGTAGGTCTGGAGATAGGGAATAGCTCTATTGATTGGGCCTAAATAAGTATGATTCTATCTGAGGAAAATGGCAGAGTGCAGACCACGAAATATTGTGCTCAGAATTACTCGGTTTTTGGACTTGTTCCATTGTCCAGTATTCTAAAAACTAGAAAAAACAGTTTTTTCAGAAACTTTATATGTTTCCTCCCTCAGGTGAAATGTTAGGACACCTACTCTGTTGGGTCCCTTAGAAAGACCTAACATCAGTCACAATTAGCTCCTTCTAAGGGACCCAACAGAGTAGGTGTGTCTCTCCCCCCTTCTCAAATGAAGACGGAAATAGATCCAGTTTCTGAAATGTTGTGTTTTCTAGTTTTTTAGTATACTGGACAATGGACGAAGTCCAAAAACCCAGTAATTCTGAATATTATGCATCACTGTCAGAACCCTTTAGAATCTACCAAAACATTGTTGCAAAAAAGTGTGAGACAGTGAAAAGAAGGCAGAAGTGTTAATGGATAACTTATGCATAGCTGAATAGAACCAAATGCAGAATTGGTGAACAAATAATGGGCATTTTGGGGTCTGAAATATGAGAACTGTTCAGGAACTACATCTTGTGGAATAAAATGTGTCAGAAATATGAAATAATAGTTCCGGTGTTTATTACAAATTGATAAATTTAAAGTGTGGTGTATCTGGCAAGAAAACTATGCTGCTCTTAGCTCAATCATTAAACTGATGGATGGCTATGATAGCAAAATATCTTGAGCTTTACAAATTCATTACATACATACTGCATGAACAGGAACTGGAGAAGCCTATGATAAGCTTATGTGTTGTACATGACCAACAGACTGAAGCTTCATGTTAAGACTGTCTCTTTAAACTGTAATTTCTCTTTAAATTTTTTTCCTTCCAGATTGCAATACAAGCCATTTTTGCTGAACTCAGACACTGAAAGTGTGTTCATTTCAGAAGTTTATGCTCATTACTCAGAACATCTTCACATTTTTAACAGTTCAATGCAGTATAATTTTGCTATTTCATCAATACTGTTCAACATCTAGAGCCTTATGTTTATGTAAAGAATAATGTATCAACTCTAGAATGAAACAATTACAATTACTATCACTATAAGAAAGAATAGATCTTCATAAGGGGCATAAGTTCCACATAATTATAAAAACATTTGTATTAATAAAACTAATTTGTATTTTCATCTGCTTACCTCACTCCTTCATGAATCAATGAAAATAGGTGTTATCTGATTCAGAAGTTTGTAGTGATAAAAACTGTACAGGTATGTAATGGCAAAGGATTGTTTTTTTATAAGAAATTGGAAGTTTCATGTTAAAATAAAGTGACTTATTTTCTGGTAAGATCATGGAACTCTTGCAATGATATCAGATGACCTGATGCAGAAAGTAATGGAACAAACATTGCAAGTGTTCTGAAGAAGATAATTCAAGGTGTTGGTGTCAGATATGTAAGCTTTTATCACGTAACAAGCAGATACTGGAAGTCATATATTTCACTGATGTCAGCTTTGGAAGTATCATCACATCTAAAATTTTCATTTTAATGACATTTTTGCTGGAAAATTATAATATTGAAATTGTAATTAAGATATGGGTAACACTAAAATTGTATCTACTGAAAATAATTTATGATTTTAGCTTTTAGTTTTGGAAAGAGCTTTCACAAAGAAGCTTTTGAAATTGCATAAAGTGATATATTGGGCCAAAGACGTAGCCAGGAGTGGAAATACTTTTTTTTTTAAATTATAGTTGGACACTGTTTGTTGCATGAAAGGCGTTCTTCTCTGCCCAGCTCAGAAAAATGCTGCAAGTAATGAATGCTGGCAAATTATAAGTTTAACTATGTAAGTTTTGAGGTTTTCACGGCGATGACAATGAAGAAAGTTGTCTTCTGGGTTTAGGCACCGTGTATTCTTCGTTATAAGTTTAACTGTTTATTTTCTTGAAGTGTCTGTCATCAGGTGATTATATTTTTCATTACTGTCCCCCATCTCTGGTGGTTGGGATAAACAACACCCCTTCCAACCCTAGAACGATGTATGTAATAATACTGTACTTGTACATTTGTTAAAATATCCAGTCACAACTTATTTTGTGGTTATTTTGATCACATCATAACAAAACTAAACTTCCATTCAGACTAAGTGATTCCCAACACAGACATGTTTAAACCTTTGACTACCAAGCCCTACCATAGAACTACCTGTTAGAAACACCAAATCTGTGGAGGTAAATGCATTTACACAGAAAGACCCATTATACTGACTATATATGTCTAGATAGTGTGAAAGCCTGTTCTTTCCTCTAAATATTGATATATCTTACCTAATGCCGTCTACTGACAAAACATCAAGCTAAGCCCTTTGGATGTGGCAGTTTCAATAGAAAAAAGCCAGACTTATGCAATCAGCTTATGATATGCAAAGGGTTAAACCATGATTATATTTCAATATGTTACAATTATTATCAGTATCACATTACTGCAAATCCCACTTTTATCAAAACTACAAGAATAACAAGTAATTCTGAGGGAATATACTTCTTTCTGGTCCTGTAACATTGATTAATTAGAGCAGTGATTCTAAATGGATGGAATGCATCCCACAGGTGGAACGTGAGAGTCAGCTGGGTGCAACAAGAGGTCTCAAAAATAAGAACTTCCATTAATGGTTAGTATAATAGTAAAATGTTCATAAATATCAGAATACAGTTCTTGGTATAGGAGAAGCATTGTTTCTACTATTGTGGGACTGCTGCTCTTTCCACAAAGTGAATAGTGGGGTGCAAGATGCATAATATTGAAGATCACAAAGTTTGATAATTATATTTCTGAAAAAAATTAAAACCTGAGCAAGACCACCCCATAAAAACTTAATATTCAAATAACGTTTGACAAAAGCCCGAATACTAGCGCAGGATCCAGTAGGCAATGTCCTACTCCTAGTGGACACATCATAAGCACTGCAACAGCCAACCTGTGGACTAGTGGTGTACAAGACAATATTATAGGTTGTGGTGTGGCAAGTCCAAAGTCCTGCCAAATACTGTACTTATATTAATATTACTACTTGTTCATTTTGTATCATCCATTGTCATTCCTAACTATTGTGTGCAAGTATCAATGAATGTGAACATTTTGGTGTTGGTTCATCACCAAACTGAGAGTATGAGTTCAAAATACTTCACCTGTAAATATACCAAACACTGTGTAAGTTTTTATCATTATATTAACTGTGTTGATACAGAGCTCAAGGCAATTGTAACGTTACTCATTACTGTTGTATTACCACTGTAATGTTATATTATGCTGGGTGTAAATGTAACATAGGATGGCAATATATGTTGGACCCTGCTGTGTACTTCCTTGATTGTATGCAGCCACCTTCAAGCATCATAACAATTATTTTCCATGTACCACCATTCTGAATTATAATCAAACAAAATCCATGGCTTTAGTCCGCAAGCAAACTATGCCAACCAAGTGACCGCTGCCTGTTGGCGAAGTTAGTGCCAATGTTAGTGGATAGAGGGCATCGTGTGGTCAGTGCAACGAATACCCACGGCCATTAATTTCTGTTTTCTGGACTAGTGCAGCTACTTTTCCATTCAAGTAGCTCCTCAATTATCCTCACAAGGCTGAGTGTACCCCGTTCCAGACCCAATACTTCTCAGAAAATCCGGTAGCACTGGGAATCGAACCCGGTACCTCTGGATCTGTAGCCAGGAACTCTGCCCACTAGACCACAGAGGCAGTCCTTATTATATTCAAACATTCATTCTTTGAAACACAGCATCTGAAATGTAATCCATATCTTGTAGCAACACTTCATCTTCAAGATCATTCAAAGAAACTGAAAGCTAATTTTAAAATGATATTAAAGGACTGAAGTCAGGGTACAAGGGCTAATCAACTGAAAATTAGCTTTTCTCCTGTACACATTAAGCCCTCAGGTGGCCTACTTGTATATGACAGAACTCAAAATTGCAGTTCTTAATGCCACTACACTGAGCATATTAATGTAGAGGTAACGCTGTAGATGTATATTCATGAGGCATCTGGTTCGAATCTTGGCCAGGACACTGCCTATTCTGAGGTTTTCCTCACTTTCTACAGGCAAATGTCATTATAGTACCTTGATTAGGCCACACAGCTTCCTTCCAAATTCACTGTTCAGTAATCTCATGCCATACAGACAGCTTCGTAAAGTAAACTGCAGAAAGAAAGAATTCCTGCTTGGAGAAAAAATGTTATAAAATATATATGCATGTAAAAAAAGTAAAGCTATTCCTGTAACAGGCTGTGGAAGCCCATAGGCTTGTGAGACATCGAGGATCCCAAATTTTCTAGACAATCAACTCACAGATGACTGTGAGGTTGTCAGCTTTACACGCTGGTAGCCCTTTACCCCGAGGAAGATTCCTGGTACCGCATAGTGCGGCTGGAAGGATCAGGTCAATTGAAAAATCCAATGGCATCATTGGGAATCAAACCTGCGACTTTTTGCTTGCAGCATAATGCCTCAATAAATCTTGCTACAGCGTGCCCCAGGATATGTATGTATAAATTTCAAACTGTTTGTATTTGTAACAGTTTTTCTGGGATTACTTGTGCATGTAAGTACCAAAAGAAACTTTTATGCTTTGATATATCTATGCATTAAAATACTGTCACAGTAAAACCTGCAGCTTGAGCTATAGTCCTATACAGTAATAGAGGAACACGGTTTAGAAAGGAATTGGTTTTACAACGTGTGAGATATCATTGTGACAGCTCCAGTTCTGCTCTGTTTGTAGATGTACCTACCACACCACACCACAGAGCTTTCTGTGAAATCATATTTTGTATTTTTAAGAACTCTCAATCCATGTCATGAAAATCATTATGCAACAAAACAAAATACTTCAAGAAAAATATCTGCATGTCTTCAAAAATCCAAACAGATAAACAGAACAGTTAGTATGAGATTACAGACTGTCTGCAAATCAACTGTGGTTTTATTCAGAAAACATTACATTTTTTATGATGGTAAAAAGAAATTTGACTCCCAAGGGGACAGATGTCTCAAACTGTGTGACAAGGGATTTCTTTCATGTTCTTTGCTCATCTTGATAGACGGGACATTCCGTTTCCTGATGTCATTCCATAACTGTCAACCAAGGCACACACAATTGTTGATTATAATCCAACTTAAACCAATCCCTGCTAAATAGGTGACCTCAATACTGACAAAATTTAATAGGAACAAATTTTCACCAGGTAACTAAATTTGGGAAATCTTCATAAAAATTCTGTAAGCGACAGTGGTCAAAGAGCATAAGAGTGAAAACTGACAGATTAGTTTAATGTACACTGCATTTCAGAAGTTAATTATACTCCCATCTTGAGGTAAATGGTTGTCATTATTCAAGGTAATGTATTCTGTTTGTATTCACAGAAAGCTGAACATTAGTGTTACATGGAAAATTGTGTAATCATAACTATGAGTAAGTGTATGGTGTAGGATTTTGACCAGGCAAATTGATTGTTACTTGGCTGATCAAGAAATTGCCTCATCATGTATCATGACACCATAAATCCACAACATCCATTCTAAAATTATCTCCCAATTTCACCATAGTCTCCAAAGAGAATTCATAATATTCAGAATTAATGGGTTTTCAGATAATTCACAAATGTCAAATAAACTTTCCATAAACACATTCTTTATACTCCAAAGTGTTATAAAATAACCTAGACCACAGGGATTTTTCTTCTCAAACACCCTTTTATTTGGTGAACATTTAACATGAAACCATTCTAGCCAGGCCATAGAGTAGTGTGCACCAGCGTAACATACAGAAACTGGCATAATACCCAGTAGATCAGGCTATGCTACCATGGTCTATTCTGTCATATCATAAAGCAGCCTGCTGACACATCATGCACCACCTTAACATATCCAGCTCTAGCCCAGCCAGACCTGTTCTAGCATACACTGGTCTAGAATATTCTAGCCTGCCCTAAATTGCCCAGTTTTAGCTCCACCTATGCACCCTGTTGTACCATGAGCTAGCATGCTTTTATTTGCGCATCCTAGCATATCTGGTCCTAGGCTTGCATACAGTAGTCTAACTGAAGCACCTGTAAAGTTCTTCGTTTGTCTTATCTGTCTGTATGATTGATGCATGGGTGATATGGAGCATAGAAAATGCCTCAAAATGTCCAAATCATCCTGATCCAAGAGGGCATTTTGTTTCCACTAGGAACAGCAAGGTGTTCACCCATAGATATTTTCATGAACACAAAGTAAGCATATAGTTGATAAATATAAGGAGCACTCTGTAATATACAAATTACACTTCTAAAATGAACATATTTAAATAACATGAGTCTTCTCCTCTATCTCTCAATATAGGCAAGAGGGAGGTACATTGCATTTCATCCTGGCTGTGCCTGTTCAGGCAGTTATGAGCTGCCACTTGCAGCTAGTGTATGACAAACTAGGCTAGGGCAGAATCCTTCAGGTCTGTTTTAGCTGTACTAGCCTTAGGTAGGCTGACAGACATGCTGGACTAGGTCAGAAGAAGCTATGCTACAAAAGCGTAGCCTAGGGAATGTTATCCATTATACTGCAACCTGTTTTATGCTAAGTCAACCTAAGGTCTAATAGATGCAGCAATGTCAGACTTTGGTCATATATTCTAGTGTAGGACAATTCAGGCTATATTAATTCTCACTAGGTTATCTTAAGGCAGACTGTGTTAATCCACAACAAACTGATCTATGCTAGGCTAGAGATGGTGATAGTGACTTTCATTAGAATTGGGTAGAATTGGTGGCTGAGTCAAGTTTCACGCTTTGTGAGTCTCTCTGACGGATAAGAAATGTGTGGATTTCCATAAACAAGTTCACAAATTTATGTACAGTACTAACAAATATTTTAGGAGTCAGGATGAAAAGAAAGGGTCACTCATAGCATTTCAAACATAGTTCAGGATCAAGTTCCTGCAGCACGCAATGTTAGAAAGTGAGCATCCCAAGGATGTTGCAAGAAAGTCACTGTGTGGTCACAAAATGAGGATCTACATCCTGTGTTGCTAAAGAAAAGCATAACAAGGCATAAGAAAACAACCAAAATTTGATTATTTTGACAAAGGTTTAATTATAGAAAGGCATTTGTGCACATGTAAATGCAACAAAGAGGAAAGAAAAGAAAAAAAAGGGGAAAAAAAGGAGAAAATAATACCCAGCAATAAAATAACTTCAGATGGAATTGAGGGATCTATTAGTTCTCTGTAGAGAATATTAAAATCAATAGAATTTAGACAAAAGACATTTAGTCATAGGAGAATTTTGTGGACAGGATGGATATTGTGACCATCAGCATTACTTTTCTGTGAAAAATTCACAGTAGACATCCATAAGCAGAAACAATGAAGTCCCATTATTCTTTTATTAGGATGAAACATGGATTAACCAGAATTATGCTCCAAGCAGAACATGAAAAAGATCCTAATAAAAGGGGTGGTTCAGAAGCATCAACAGGGAAGGTGGAAGTGTAATTATCTGTCATGTCAGATATCTGAAACTGGCTTTCCAGAAGTATGCAAATTACTTGGAAATAATAATCCTCAAATACCGATTACTGCAGTAAAATAAATCAATACTGAATTTAAGCATCCTTAAATTAGAGAACTAAATATTCACAAAGCTGTGTTCATGACATATAACAAAAGTTACCATTCTATAATTGTGGCCAAGACTTTGGCTTCAAATGCTAAAAAAGCCATTGTAATGGTACATAGATTGGGAAAGATGGGATTGATGCAATTGACAAAGCTGCAAATTGTACAGTATGAACTTGATGATACAGCTCAGGCTTGCAATCATGTTGCTGTGGGAATGCCCCTATACAACTGCAAGTATAACCCCATAGAATTGGTATGGGCTGAAGTAACATATGAGATGGCTGACAAAACATTCTATTTAGGCTTTCAGGTGTTGAAATTTAAATGAACATGGAATGAACAGTACCTTTTACAATATTAACAAATATTTCAGGATGGATAGCTACATTATATTACGGATCTGGTAATAGTCAATCTACTTAACAATAGCTCATCTGTGAAGAATTTTCAGAGCATGACCTTGCCCAGACTGAGAAACAAAAGACTGAAAAAAAAAATTATTTTTTGATATTACTGTGGGGGGCATGCGGTAGCATAGCTGGTTGAGGCATTATCCTACAAGCTGGAAGGTCATGGGTTCAAGTCTCAATGAGGTCATTGGAATTTTTTCAATTGACCTAATCCTTCCAGCCACACTATGGCCCTGGGGTCGACTCAGTCTCTAACAGAAATGAGTACCAGGAATATTCTTCGGGGTAAAGGGTGGCCGGCGCGTAAGGCTGACAACCCTGCCACCATCTATGAGCTGATTGTCTAGAAAATGTGGGAACCTCAACATCTCACAACCCTATGGGCCTCCACGGCCTGTTAGATGGATACCTTTACTTTTGCTTATTTACTGATACTACTGTGCGCCACAATTCATAGCTGTAGCTTCTAGAGGACAATACAAGAAGTATCTATTTGTAACATACAGTGTAGCTTTTGTATATTCATAATTCATTATCTGTGTACTAATACATATATCTACCAAGATAATATTTATTCACTGTAAAGCATTTGTTCCTTGCAAACTTCAGTAAAGGTGGCTGATGCATGCTTCAATTGCTAATTTTAATTAAAAGTGTTCTAGCTGCCTCAGTGTTACAATTTCATACAATATTTCAAGTTACTTTTCAACTTTCTTACTTTAGGCTGATGTCATGTGAAGCTATCTTCTTTCTCAGTACTGCTGACTGGGTAATGGCTGACAGGGTAGTGACCTGTAAAATTCTGATAAAAGTCTGTCCGACTAGAATAGGTCCCACTTCTGTCACACTCATAGATCATTTCTTCTTAGAGAAGAATGTCTTCAATAAATTTCAAACCCATTCCACAATAAATGGGTTTTCAAACCATGATGGGCAAATCTTAGTACTTGAAAATTTACAGGTGATAAAGAAAAGGGACCATGTAAGAGCATTTATGGATATCAATGGTGAGAACATAGCATATTTCCAACGGGCATTACAAAATGAAAATTGGGAAGCAGTTTATGATCAAGAGAACGTTAATATGAAATTTAATAAATTTCATAATACCTTCTGAACAATTTTAGAAAACAGCTTTCCCTTGGTGTACAAAAAAAATAAAGACACCAATAAATGGATAACCAAAGGTATACGAACATCTTGTAGTCATAAAAGAGCTTTATACAACTTAGTTAAAAAATCAAAGGATGAAAGATTGGAATCATACTATAAGAAGTACTGTATGACATTAACGAAAGTGATAAAAGAAGCTAAGAAATTGTACTACCAAAAACTTATAAGTAACTTGGAAAACAAAATGCAATTAACGTGGAAGATTATTAATAAAGAAACTGGGAAAAGGAGGGGCCAAGATAATATAACCGAATTGAAAGTGGGGAAAAGCAAAGTAACTAATACTAAGGAAGTAGTAGAAGTATTCAATAAATACTTTATAACTGTAGCTGAGAATCTGGAAACGAAAAGTGCCAATAAAAATTAAGCTATTAAATTCTTAGACACTTTGAAATTTGATAAATTCCCTGCACTGAGGCTAATATCTACAATGGAGATGGAAATAAAGAGCATACTTATGATGCAAAAATCAAAAGATTCTACAGGATATGATGGCATTTCTAGTAAGATATTGAAATACTGTATAACTGAGATAAGTAAACCATTGTGTCACATATTTAATGCATCTTTTGAGCATGGAATATATTCTGATAGAATGAAATTTGCCTCATTAAGACCTATATACAAAACAGGTGAGAAGGCAATTATGGCAAACTATAGACCAATATCATTGCTAATAAGTTTTTCTAAGATTTTTGAAAGAGTGGTGTACAATAGGATAAAGCAACACATATATACAAACAATTTAATGTCTTTTGCACAGTTTGGATTTAGAGAAAACAGTAACACAGAAATGGCAATATATACATTAACTATTCATATTTTAGAAACGTTGGAAAGACGCAATCATTCATTGGGAATTTTTTGTGATTTGACAAAAGCATTCGACTGTTGAGTAAATAGGCAACATATGGCATTGGTGGTAAAATAAAAATATGGTTGAAGTCCTATCTGGAAAATAGAAGACAAAGAGTTGAACTCTATAATAATGAAAATGGTAAATGCTGTTCAGACTGGGGAACCGTCAAATATGGAGTGCCACAGGGCTCAATTTTGGGTCTCTTGTTGTTCCTTTTATATATTAATGACCTGCCGTCAGCATTAAGTATTGACAAGTCATTGTTGTATGCCGATGATACAAGTATATTAGTGTCGGGTATTAATATCGATGAAATTCAAGAAAGTTCTGAACTTATGTTAAATTCCTTAAGTCAGTGGTTTAAATACAATGGCTTATCCCTAAACTTGAGGAAAACTAAAGTGTTAAAATTTGAAACAATCAATCGTGACAATATGCCTGTACATTTAAAGTTTAACGATGAATTATTACAAGAGGAAACTCATATTAAATTTTTGGGCATTGAAATTGATAAGTTCTTGAATTGGAAGACACAGGTTGAATCACTGTTACCCAGATTGGGAAAGGCATGTTATGCAATACGAATTATGAAAACATATAGTAATGTTACAACACTTAAAATGATATATCATGCATACTTTCATTCACTCATGAGATATGGAATAGTTTTTTGGGGTAATTTGTCAGAGGCCAGGATCTATCTCTTACAAAAGAAGACTATTAGAATAATAACGGGGATCAAACATGGAGAGTCATGTAGGCCAGCATTTATAAAGTTAAATATATTAACATTGGTGTCTCAGTATATTTTATCTTTGATGAGTTTTATGATAAATAACTTGGAGTATTTTACTTTTAATTATTCAATTTATGAGAGACCGACAAGACACGAGAGAAATTTACAATAAGGCAATAAGGCAGAAAGGGGTCCATTGCATGAGTATAAAAATATTTAACAGTCTGCCTGATTATGTAACTGATTTAGTACATGATAAAACAGTTTATAAATGAAATAAGAGATGTCCTAATACATAATCCGTCATATTCTGTTGATGAATTTTTGCTCTTCTGTCGGGATCAACAGCTAAGGAATAGAAGGAGAGTGCATGCTGACTGATGGATGTCCCACAGTAGGCATTAATATAGACATTAAGTGTAAGTGTAAGTTAAGGAAGGAGAATTATTATGTATTGCTAACTATCTTGTTGGTATAATTGTATGTGTAACATTGTATCTATTTATTTGAGGTATTCAGTTTAGATTTTAACTATGGTCGAATTGATGTTTCTGCGATTTTATCTGTGATTGTCTTGTGACTGTTGTTTGACAAGTTTTATATTCAGTGCCAGTTGCACACTTGTGAATACTCTGAAATGCTGATGTATGTATGTATGTATGTCTTAAGATTACTTGCAATCATGTGTGACTCTCAAACTCAAGAGAATGTTAGAAGTATTTAAAATTCATTCCATAAGCATTCACGTATTAAATAAAGATTCTGTGCCTAAGCTTGACATTTTGCAAGAATAGCATTATATTGAAAATACACAGCTTTAGAATATCTATATAGAGGTATGGAATATGATTGCATCAGATGAAAAATCTATATAATTATGTAAATCATAATTTTTTAAATTTTAATCCCTTGACTATAGGGCATGTGAAGGAATGATGTCTGCTGATTCCACACAGAATCTGCTTGCTCATTCATCAAGCAATTATTGTACAAATATATAAATGAGCTCCAGATGTGTCAGACAGTGAAGCTACAACTAAACATTTTATAAAAGATGGATCACCAAACTAAACTAACATTGAAATACTCTTCAAGAAAATGAATGCTGAACAGCAAAAAGTTTATCAATAATACATTTTAAACGAAATTTATCTTAAAATCTCTTGCGAGTAAATGGATATCAAGCAACTGAATGCAACAACTGTAGAAAGGGGTATAGCAGTAAGCATTAAATTGCATTCTAAAATGTTGCATATGTGGCAACATCCACACATATATTTTCTCAGATGACTATTTTGTCAAGTACAGTCATTCACAAATACCATATAACTAAAACTGGTTCTGCATTAGTTGGTCATAAAAGTAAAGTTTTTAAATATTTACTGAATGAGAATTATTACTGAGATAAATATAAAACTGTCATGTCTATAAGACCTGAAAATTTGTAATTTGCAATTGCAACACAAATCCTGTGTTTTAGCATCAGTTAAGCCAAAGCACAACGGTGTTCTTTTTGATGATGTATCATACTGTCAACAAAAATAAGACATCTGTAAAACATATGAAGAAATGTGGCTGATGAGATATCAAATATTCAAAATGTTCTTCCTTTGTATTAGGTAAAAATCAAGGAAAATATACACCAGTTTTCTCTGCGCCAGTGAAATATTACATTTTATATTTACATTACAGGAACACTAATCATTACTGTTGAGAGAAGAGGAATAAGCCAATTGTGAAATTACTTGTTACATATCTTGAGAATACAAGATATCTTGAATATTGCAATATTGATTATTATTTAATGTGAGATAACATATTGCCTTATCTACATATTTTAAAACGTATTGTACTTCTGATTCTGTTAATTGAAACACTTGTTTCCCATTATAAACCCAAAACAATCAGAAATACAAAGAATTTACATCAACTTAAAACTTACATTCTCTCTTCAGAACAAACTCAATAATGAGTAAAATTATCATGACTAAGAATTCACAAACAGTAACAAGAATGGCTCACACACTCATTCTTCACTGAGACCAGTAAGTAGCATTTATTTTCTTCCATGCAGACGTTTCTGTTTATGTGTCGCTAACTCTGCCTCTGATGTGAATTCGTCTGTAATTAATTAGTGTCGATTTATAAACAGGTTTTCAATCACATTCATACTTTCGTGTGAATTCTCATGTGCTAGCACACATTACTGTTGGAAAAAATATACCTCACTCCTCACACTCATACGGCTTCTCCCCTGTGTGAATTCTCATATGCTTGCGCAGATTACTTGTTTGAGAAAACATACGACCACATTCCTTGCACTCATACGGCTTCTCCCCTGTGTGAATTCTCATATGCTTGCGCAGATTACTTGTTTGAGAAAACATACGACCACATTCCTTGCACTCATACGGCTTCTCCCCTGTGTGAATTCTCATATGCCTGCGCAGAGCACCTATTTGAGAAAACATACGACCACATTCCTTGCACTCATACGGCTTCTCCCCTGTGTGAATTCTCATATGCCTGCGCAGATTACTTGTTTGAGAAAACACATGACCACATTCCTTGCACTCATACGGTTTCTCGCCTGTGTGAATTCTCATATGCGTGCGCAGATCATCTATTCGAGAAAACATACGACCACATTCCTTGCACTCATATGACTTCTCCGCTGTGTGAATTCTCATGTGCACAAAATGGCTGTGGAATGTTAATCCCTTATCACAATCATGACAATGGTATAATCTGTCTTGCACATGTTTTGAGAAATCTGAGTGATGAGAGGAGATCCCATCACATGTACCATCATCAATGATATGTGGTTGCTTAATATGGATCATGTCGCCAGAGACGTTGTTGTCATTATATCTCTTTTGCTCATTCTGTTTACTGATATTAGGAACACGCTTAACATCACAAAATGCACCATTATTTGATAAGCTGGCATTATTTAATCCACGACAATACTTTTCATGTCTCTCCAAATACACTGGGCTTGAATATGTAATGTTGCATCCAACACATTGAGACACATCTGGAAGATAAAAACAGCATCAGTTGCCTGTCAAAGGAATTTCTCCCAGACTATCAATCTACAAGTACAACTACCTCAGCAGGCCCTCCACATTGTCAAGGCAGTGATTATGAATACCACAAATATTGGCACCAGCAAGTGCCTATGTGTGAGTCCAGCCATGCATCTGACATCCCCCTAAACTAAAAATTTTAAATTAACTTTTACAAAAAAAAAAAATTCTCCTATCCTCAGTATTCTAGGGCACTAAGGAAAATAGTGTTAAACGGCTTACATGTATGTAGCCACATTTTCTTTATACTCTCCCATGGAAAACTGGCTGTCCCACTTTGTAAAATATTGTGGCACCCATGCAGCGATATACGCAAATATGTATATTACATTCAGAATTCAGATTCATAATTAAGTCCCAAGTCACGTAAATTATTCTCTTATTGAATCACGATAATTTATGCTAGCAAAGTGGATATCAATGGTAACTAAATGACATATAAAATTCACTTACAGCAAATTCCACAAATCTTATTCTATTTAAAACCTAGCTAGTTTCCTAATTCCTAACAAGAACAGCACATGAACCATAGCAATCTTACGATTCAACAGTACTGGGCACAGTCACAGAATATTTATGAGTTTCTTGCTCAATAATACTTCAATCCACTATCTTAATAAAATTTGTTCAGCCAAGTGGGACCCTGTAAATACCATTTAAGTTCATTAGCTCCTAAAATTCCTACATTTAGACTGAAATTACATATGTGTTTTTCATTGGTCTCACACTTGCCTGTGAATTATAGACAAGCATATTTCTCAAAATCTGATGGTTACCATATGATAGGTCACATAATATTTATTTTCATCTGATTTCTGCATGACAATTACTCTATATTCATTTCATCAGTAATCTGTCAGACGACAGGTCCACAGTCTCTTCCAAAACAGTTCCTCCACTTAATGCGATCTCAAGCTTTCTCCTTCAAATAAAAATATCCTCTTCCGTCCCCAAGGTCATCCAGCATCTTCTTACGTCTTTTTCCTCGTCTTATGTTCGCATACATGGTATCTCTGTTTTTGGAAAGATACTATATACTATATACTTAGCAAAAATTATCTGAAATGCCAGTCTTACATACATAACATTTACAAAATATTTCAGTGATGTGCTTTCCCCACAAAATTTAAATCAACTCAATATGCCTCCATCCGTATTTAAAACCTCTACTACTTCTTGTGTATGGGCAAGTGGTAACATAGTTGGTTGAGGCACTATACTACAAGCTGGAAGGTTGCAGGATTGATTCCTGATGAGGTCATTTGATTCTTCAGTTGACCTAATCCTTCCAGTCACACTATGGCCCTGGGGTTGACTAAGCCTTTAAGAGAAATGAGTACCAGGAATCTTCCTGGGGGTAAAAGGTGGCTGGCATGTAAAGCTGACAACCTCACTGCCCTTTGTGAGCCAATGGTCTAGAAACTGTGGGAGTCTCAACATTCAGAACCCTATGCGACTCCACGGCCTGTTACAGGGATAGCTTTACCTTATCTTACTAGATGTTGTGTAGCTAATAATGTACTACTATACTAACTTTGATTACACATGAGCAATTGGTTACTGAATAATATGAATTCTCTGTACAGATATATACCCAGTAGGTACATTTTCCTAATCTTTCCAAAAATTATTTATCACAAAATAACGCACAATGTTGTCTGATGCATCATGTTGCATGTCACTTATTTTCACTTCTGAGTTCACTGTATCACATGCAATTTGTGTTAAAATTTTGACACAAGTCGTATGTGAGACAGTAAAATAATAAGCAAAAAAAAAAAATAGTGAATAATATAATTTAATATTTCTCCTTCTTCATGATTGAATTAATTTTTTGAAGCATGTCTAAAACAAAACATCTTCACAAAGCAAATCTAGCAGAATTCATCATGAGTGCTTTCTTCCTCCAACTGCATAATTTCCATAATTTAATTGTGTTAAAATTTTGACACAAGTTGTATGTCAGACAGTTAAAATAATAAGCGAAAAAAATAGCAAATAATATAACTTAATATTTCTCTTTCTCAATGGTTGAATTAATTTTTTGAAGCATGTCTAAAACAAAACATCTTCACAAAGTAAATCCAGCAGAATTCATCATGAGTGCTTTCTTCTATCAACTGCATAATTTTCCACATGTAACATAAGGGAAATCAAGCACATAGTTCTTTAAAGCAAGAGAATAATTATGTACTGAAGCTAACCAATGACAGACGAAATGGTATCAAAATTCTTTGGACAAGAATAATTCCTCACTACTTACTGAGAGATTTTTTCTGTTGTGGTTTATGGAAATTCTCAATGACAATACCAAGTTCTCGACCATACTCATCCCCATACCACACTAGCAGCTCAACATGGGCAGGTATGGGTCGGACAGTTCGATAATACATTTCACCTTTATACTGAAATGCCATTAAATTCTGTTCTTCCTCATGTCGAGCACAATTAACGTAGCGCATCCAGTTAGCAATACCACAATTCTTGGCATCCACACAATATAATGCTCGATAGTTGCGACGGATCTACAAATTGCAACACAAGCAAAAGTAAAATGCTGGGAAGTTACTGAAAGTAACTTCTATCTAAAAACTTATAAAAACCTTTAAGAACTTTAAATCGTTATCAATATTTGAGTTTCATAAATACATTTTTACATCCCCCTGCTACTAATACCATAATGGAACCCAAAGACTCAACAACCACCACTGCCATCAGCACCGCCACCACCAGTGTTTCAGGCAAAACTTATGAAACCTACTTTGACTTCCAGTCATACAAGTCTTGTGTTCATTTTTATTTATTTTGCAGGCCTCTCAAAGACATCAACTTTCAGAATGATTATTGAATAAGAAATTCTAAAGGATATTCAAGAAAGCATTCATCACATAATTTGAGGTTCTTTTCTGGCTACTGTTTGTGATCTAATTTGAGTTACACTTTTGGCATCTGCCTTGGGGAATTGAGGAAAACAAATAAAACCTTCCTCAGGATAACCAGTCTCAGAGTAAAAATTTTGCTTACTTGACCACAATGTTCAGTCCCTCGTGTTTACAATTTTATACTTCAGTAATGTGAGTTTATAATCCAACAACAGGATGCTCTTTAGCTTATATATTAGTATGGGGGCAGAGTTTATGTACAATGGTCATAGGTTCAACTCTTACTGCAAGCAGTTATATGTTAGACTGTTACTGTTGTTACTACAACCACCACCATCATTACTACTTCATTTCTGATGTGAAATCATTGGGCCTACTTAAATATAATTTTGTCTACATGTGTAATAAATTGGATAATAATAACTTCAAAGGTTTGCATGGACACCATATTTGTAACTGCAGACTTATAAGCAATGCTTCATACATCAACTGCAGTGATGTTTATAACGTATGTTCATACACAATTTCATACTCTTGGTTCCAATGGTCTATTTATTATCCTAAAAGTGAAAGTTATATTAAAACTCTGCATAGCTTTTATGGTCTTGTTTGTTACAAAATCACTTAAACAACTGCATACCTGGGGATCATTTCAGAATCTTATACTAAGTGGTACTAGTTCTCTCCCACCTCACAAGTTTTAATGTCTGGCATGTCAATATTATTGACCGTAGAAATTAAAATTACAAACTTTGGGATGACCCCCACTGGCATAGTGTTCACACTCAATTTCATGAAAATCAGGCAACTGCTTCCAATAACAAAAGAATCTCTGGATATCAAATCATTTTGTCATAACCTGATAGCACATGACTAGGACTGGTCTTCTTGGAAGAATTGTTTCATTCTTATCACCATCCTTCACCCCTTTTCTGTAACCCATCCATACTTTCATATCCTTCCCTCCTTCCCCCAGTATTCCACTTCCATTCGTTTGATCTGTCCTATGATCATTTCTCGCCATCTTCACCCTCTTTCCTACATGTAAAAATTATTTAAGTAAATATATTTGAAACATGCTGTTATAGAGCAAGAATAAAAGTATCAGGCATTTTATGTCCTTCATTAAAAAGTAAGTACATATATTACAGAATGATGCATCAACACTGCTTAATGATTAATGATATATGTTAGACACTGATAATAACTACAGCCTCCATAAGCACAAACAATCAAATGGGCTTCTGTATACAATTATTTATTCTTGGTTTGTTCAAAGGCACTTTCAGTAGCTTAGATAATATAGAACTGAGTGACAGATTTACCAATGAGTAATGAACTAGAAAGCATGCAGAAGAAAGTGACCCAGCATTTGCATGGACAGTCTGACAGAAATCATTACGGGCCTTAGTTAGGATATCTGGTCTTGGGGCTGAGATATGGTCATGGGACCTTGCAAATACAAGTACAAAGCAGGAGTGCTAACCACACAGCCATGACATTTAGTGACATAAGCAGTGTTTTTTATGAAAGATAGAACTGCATTTTTCACTGTCATTTACAGTCCCTTGCACTTAATCATTATGGGGACAATGAAGAAAATTCATCAGAGCCCCTCCATTGAAAGTTATGCTAAGAATTTGGGTCTCACTCACTCACTCATGGAGCTGAACCCTTCTTGAGAAGCTGCCAATTGTGCAGCTACTCAAGAACCAAACAATGGGTCTTGTAGATAAAAGTGATATGATGGCAAACAGCTATATTGTTCCCTGGAAGACATGAAAATGGGTGAGAAAATACTTCTTCCACTTAGTTAGCCTATCCCGTATGCCTTTACAATTCATAGCTCATGTGAGGGTAAACTCAGGCCTAAAGTGTTCACAGAATGGCTTGCAGGACCTATGACCTACAGGACCTACAGGATAATTTTACTACTATTGTGATGACAGTAATGTTGGGCCCTTGTGTTCATCCATGTCTCAAACTGTATTAAAAGCTGCATTATGGAAAATTTCTTTTGAAGTATAGTGGATTTGGCTTTGGTAATGTTTCTTAAATGAAATCCAAAACAGGACTAAATGAAATTTCATAACTTTTACTCTCTGTCTAATGTTATTAGGGTGATCAACCAAGAAGGATAAGATGACCAAACTACACAGCCTGCATGGAAGAGATGATAAACGCATACAAATTTTCAATTGGAAAAGAAGAAAATATTAAAGTGGAGAAACAGGCAGGCATATGTAAATCTTGTGATAAACTTAGGTTTTATAAATGAACGAATTTCCTTGGCAATTTGAGTGACTGTTGTCTGCTCAAAGAAAACTCAGTATCCTGATGATAATTATAGCAGAGTTTATCATAAAAATATTACACGTAAGATTTGAGGTTTTCATGGCCGTGACTATGAAGAAAGCAGTCTTCTGGGATGTGGCGCCATGTAGCTATTTTGTTAACCAACGTTTCGGAGGAAGCAGACTGTTGCACCTGCTCATGTTGGTTCACTCGCGGATTTCTTCTTGTCTCCTACACTGAAGATGGAGGCGATTCATTCCTCTGAATCGTCAGTTAACATAATATCTACATGGCGCCACATCCCAGAAGACTGCTTTTTTCATAAAAATATCACACTTTACTTGTTAGCATATCTGCTTCATATTCAAGAGACCCTTGGCTTGATCTTCAGTTGGAAAATCAGATGCCCTGAGGTTTTTCATGGACTTTCTGGGTTCTTCCAGCTGAACTGCAAGACAGTACTTTAAAACATTCCACAACTTGTTCGTTTTACACCTAAACTCATTGTTGGTATTCATTCTGTAATTGTTCATTTTATACTACTAATTGTAATTGACAGAGAATAAGTAAATAACTCAAGCAAATAACAACAGTGATTATATACAATGGTTGGATAAAAAGTAGTGGCAACACTGCTGTAACATGAAAGATGTGCATCAGGTGGCACTAGTGCCATCTGTAGCTGATAGCAGAAGTTCAGTTGAAGTAGTGCAGTGAGTGGCTCTGGTTGTGTTTCATTGAGTTGTATTGTGCACTGTGTTGAAGTGCAGGAGCCCAACGCCCTAAGAACATGTTTATGAAAAAAGAATAAAAATTGAAGTTGCACGAGGTTGTAGTGCACAAAACTGTTATCAGGGACTGTGAAAAGCATGTGGTGATGCTGCTTTGCCATGTCGCACAGTGGCATGATGGGTAAAATTGTTCTGTGAAGGGAGGGATGCCATTCAGGACAGCCATCGTTCAGGACGACCCCATGTTGACAACCACACAATTAAGCTTCTTGTTTCTTTGCTGGATGTTGATTGTCAATGGGCTGCAGGGGTGTTAGCTGCTGAGGTAGGCGTATGTCACAAAACCGTGCTTCACATTCTGCACAATATTCTTGGATACCGCAAAATTTCAGTGTGTTGGGTAACCCATACAATGTCCGAGGTGCAACAATGGCAATGTTATGCAATTGCACAGGACTTGTTGGTCCGCGCGATTATAATACAGTGGAACCTCGCTTAACGAGCACCTCTCATAACGAGTAATTCGCATAACGAGCAAAACAAATTGTAAAAAAATGACTCGCTTAACAAGTGACAAGAGGGGAAGTCCTGGATTGTGCGCTTGCTACATTAGTCTGTGTTTAGCACTCGTTCCGCTAGCATCTTAGTGTCGCTTGTGATCACACATTTTTCCAAACTTGTGTTCAGACATATTATTTGTGATTTTTTTTTGTGCAAAGTTTAATAACCTTTGCAAAAGTGTTCCCAAAGAAAAAGCCGCAAAAAACAGCCATAAGAGAATAAAAATAACCGTAGAAATGAAACGTAAAATCATTGAAAAGGGAGAACGAGGTGTGAACGTGGCTGATCTAGCACACACATACAATTGGTCTATACCAACGATTTGCACGATTTGGAGTTGCATTGTATTTCACAGCAAGAAGTTGTGGAGGAGAGTTTGTCAGAGGAGGAGGAGGAGGAGGTAACAGCAAAGCAACAATCTTCTGGTGCAATAAGAGAAATGTTAAAAGCATGGGAAACTGTTGCATCGTACATTGAGAAGCATCACCCTAATAAGGCAGTGGCTATGCACACTACAAATTTATTTAATGATAATACTGTTTTGCATTTTCACCAAAGTTTTAAGTGTCAGCAAAAACAAATGTCTCTAGACAGCTTTCTAGTAAAAACGAATTAGATATGTATCATAAATAATAAACTAATTATTTCGATTTTTTTTTTTTGTTTTCTGCAAATCAAATTCACATTTCAGGTTGGTTCATTCTGCATAGAAGAAAAGATGAAGATGATTCACGCTCCTTAACAATGTATATATAATTTTCTTTGAATAGACGATAAAGTTTTTGAGTTTTTTTTTTGGCATGGAACACATTGTCGTATTTTACATTAATTTTTATGGGAAAAATTGTTTCGCTTAACGAGTGTTTCGCATTATGAGTAAGATTCTGGAACATATTATGCTCATTAAGCGAGGTTCTACTGTATCTTTGCCAAAATGAAAGAACCACTGTGAGGGCTACGTTACAACACAAGAAAGGAGATTATTTGTGCTGTAGGGTGGTCACTGCTGGACATCAACAGAATTGGACGCACTGATGGTGTACGACGCCTTCCACAAATTTGGCAGAAAGTGGTACACATGGGGGGCGATTATATTGAAGGAATGTAAGTGTGTTTACCTCAGGTAATAAAGTCATTTCAGAAATATAGAGGTGTTGCCACTACTTTTTATCTAACCTATGTAATTAATTAGTTTGGGGATACTATCCATATCTCATTTTTTTAAACCACAATGTTTTGGATACTGGTTTCTGTCCCTGTCTTCAGGTAAAATCCTACTCAATTGGACCCAATCAACAGAGTGATGTGTTTCAAAAACAAGACAATGAATAATGTTCAAAAACTCAATAACTGTGTTAGTTTACCATCCTCACAAATTTTTAGATCTTATTTATATAAACAGAGATTATAATTAGGTGTTAAAATCACTTCCCACCTGCCAGCAGTAGCCATTACTGTTTGAGGATTTCACTTTTGCACCTTCGTATGGTCCAAATCTCAACCCCTTGGAGAGAGGTACCCTGGACCACACACCACGTCCTGCACCACTGATGCCAGACTGGGCTATGTACAGCTGAGAAGGCACTGTTCTGTCTGCTCGAGTAGAATCTTCAGGGTCTGCTGGGACCTGGAAGAATAAAGATCTAAGATCAATCTGATTAGAATTCATAATTGAACTGATCATGTTCCTGAAGCCATGGCTGATTGTTAAACATGCAACTTCAGACATGTATTCATGACATAAATAAGAATAACTGTCTTGAAAATTGCAAGGGTTACAGGGAAAGTGTACAGGATATAAATGTGTGTTTCATTTCTCTCTACAACTTTCGTTCAAAATATTTTTCTCCTTGATAAATATGCAGCAAGTTTTGCAGAAACACATGTAGGTCTTCATGCAGAGTTGTTGTTAAATTTGTCTGATCTAAATGAAAACTGAAATTGCTTGACAATCTTTCATAAAATTCTCCTGTATCAAATTTCATGAAAATGTGTGCAGCAATTCTCAAGTATGATGAATATAGAGATAGATGCACTGAGCAAGTAAATAATTGGTGCTCTGAGAATTATAAGGAAGACTGAAATGAGAAAAGTGTCAGAAGAAAAAGAAATGTTAAAACAATTACAGTCTCATCTTAAAAAAGAATACCTTGTGCACCCATGATCTGATTAATGCAACTTGTCACTTCTTACATTAATTATAAAAATTGACATAATTTTTGGAATTTTAAGATAAGAAATCAAGACAAGCTCTCCTCTGTTTTCATATTTCCCCCCCCCCAAAAAAAATATCTATTTTGAACAAGGCTACCAACTTTAAAATACTGAAGTGTCTATTTTAAGTATATCACCAAACCACCTCCTTCTATACAACAAAGAAAGTACAGATTGCTTACAGAAGGTCAGTGAAGAGTTACCTTAGTATCTTCAACAACTGTAAGCGCTCCATGAACAGGACAGTCTCCCTCCCACTCCTGCCCACAGTCATCACAAACTGCAGGACAACATGATTATGACCATAAATACACATAATTCAGTGAAAGATCAAATGCACTGAAAATTAATCCAAACACTCACACAACAAAACAAAATACTATTCATGGCAGAAAATGTTGACTTACTGTATAGTAGACAAGACATGCATAAAATTCTATTCTCTTAGCAGATACTATGCTATTAGATCAAATGTTTAAGAACTACCCAGGCAGAACTAAATATCCAGTATGCTTTTGTATAATTGGCTTGGATATATGGCACTGATAGTATACTTACTCACTGGTTATTGATTGGACAACTCTCATTTGTTTCAGTCCTCTTATTTATTATTTTCCATGGTTTCAAGTTTTATATTTTTTCCTTACTCCTAACCCATTTAGGGTTCCTAAAGAACAGAATTCTTCACAATTTTAAACAGGAGTGGGAAACTGTACTCTAGACTATAATGCACATATATCTGAAAGCATGCTGGGTTAGCTCAGTTGGTATAGTGATTAGACTATGGGTTGGATGATCGAGGAATCCAGATTATATTTCCAGGAGGGACAAGTGATTTTCTATTCTCCATAGACTCCAGATCAGCTCTGGGGCCTTTTTGTTCTCTATACAATATGTACCAGGGGCTGTTTCACCTGGGATAAATTGGCAGGGGTGTGAAGTTGGCCACTCACTTTATCTAGTGCTGTGATCAAGAACGGTGGACATGTACCTCCATTCATTTTTCCGAATTTTGGAACAAACTTCAGAAAACTGTTTTCAACAGGTACTCTGTACTGCTCAGAAGCCTACAGGGTTTGAAAAAAACACACATATACATGCGTGCTTGTGCATGCGCGCGCGCGTGTGTGTGTGTGTGTGTGTGCGCGCGCGCAGGTGTGAGTTGCATATTTTATGTACTTTCAATTGATTCAGACTTAATAGTTATGCATTTTGGAGGGCAAATTGCAATTACTGTTAGAAAATACCCATCACTTTTCTTGTCTAAACTTATAACATAAAACAGGCAAGTCAACATATAAGTCATCAGGCATCAATAATCCAACACCCAATGTAATGTTCACGATTTTGTCTACCGTTCACTGACATTTGGTGCACTCACACCACATTTTACTGCACACCTTACACCTGACTAACAAAATATAACATCTGAATAAAATATGAAGAGAATTTTACAGTCTTTCAAACACTTAGAGGTCCTCATTTGTGTGTTCTGTGCCCATAGCCTGCCATGGATGTGCTATCAGTCCAATACATTTTATGCTCACTCTTATTCATTCATTCATCAGTAATCTGTCAGATGCCAGGTCCACAGTCTCTTCCAAAACAGTTCCTCCACTTAATGTGATCTAGAGCTTTCTCCTTCAAATTAGAATATCCTCTTCTGTCCCCAAGGTCATTCAGCATCTTCTTATGTCTTCTTCCTTGTCTTCTGGTCACTTCTATCTGCCCCTCTAGCTTTCCTTCAATAACTTCTTTTAGAAGGCAGTTACTGCGTAAGATATGACCAATCCAATTAACCTTCCGTTTTCTTATTTCGTGTAGGATATTCCTCTACTCACTGACTCTAAATAACACTTCTTCATTTCTCACATAATCGGTCCAACTGATCTTCTCCATCCTTCTCCAACACCACATTTCAAAGCTTTCCAGGTGTTTCTGATCTACTGCCCTAAGTGTCCAAGTTTCAGCCCCATACAATGCCATGCTCCAAATGTAGAATTTCACTAGTTTCTTTCTCAAATTTAAGTCCAATTTGCTGGTAAAAAGATTCTTCTGCTTGCTAAATGCAGCTTTTGCCATGGCAATCCTACATTTAATTTCACAAGTACACCTTCCATCATCTGTTAACAAGCTACCAAAATATTTAAAACATTTCACATTCTCCAGTTGTTTTTGGTCTATCTTTATTGTGACTGGGGTTGATTGTCTCGAAATTTTCACTACGTTTGTTTTTTCCACATTCATTTCCATGCCATAGCACCTTCCAATTTCGATTAGTCTATCAATCATACCCTGTAGCACAGTTTCTTCCTTAGCCATTAACACAAGGTCATCTGCATATTTCACAGTTTGAATAATTTTCCCTCCTAATTTGAAGTCTCCAAGCCCATCCAGAGCTTCCTTGGTAAGGCATTCGCTGTACGAGTTGAACAAAATTGGTGATAAACAGCATCCTTGTCAAATTCCTCTTCCAATCTTCACACTTCTTGTCTCCCCTCTGTCCAGTTGCACTCTACCTTTCTGATCCATGTACAATTTATTAATCAACCTTCTTTCCTGCCAATCGATACCTGTTTCCAATTTACATGGTCAAATGCCTTCTGCCAGTCTATAACCCAAGCACACAGTTCTTCATCTATCTCCAAAGTTCGTTCTGCTATAATTCTCATCATCCCAATTGCATCCCTGGTTCCTTTTCTTCTTCTAAATCCAAACTGATCCTCTCCATGTATATCCTCTATTTTCTTTTCAATTCTTCTTTTAAGTATCTTCGCTATTATCTTTGCTCTATGTGGCATAAGGCTTATTGACTCACTCTTAATACACTGAAAAAAGACAAATTCTAAACCTAGCAGAAAGGCAGGACAGAAACTGGTTACAGAATTTACCAATCGATGGTGCATAGTGATGAGATTACATTATCAATAACAGATCTGTCATATACAAGAAGTTGGAAAGTTATACTGAATGGCTGTAATCTTGAACTAATGAAAAGTATTACGGCCATGTTGCTGGACTGAAGGAAATTGTCACAGATAAGCATAAAGAATTAGTGATGATGTGACCTGATATGGCATAACTTCGAAACCTAAGTTTCACAGAAGTGAATCATTATATTAAAACATTATTGTAGTAGGGCATTTAAATGGGAACAAAATGGCAGAGTAACAATATAAGCATTCTTTTCCTTATTGAATAAGGAAAGTGTCCTAAATATATTAACAACAACCACAATGATAACAATAATAATAATACTCTTACATATAAAATCATCATCATTTGGTACATGTCCTTCTGTGTAATCCTTGCGAGTCACTGACCGCTTAGGGTAACGACTCTGAGAATCTTCAGTCTTCTTTTCAAAGACATTCTCTGAAAAGAGACAAAGCCCACAATAATAATTTTAAGCACATAAAACAAAGATATCAATGTGCTGAGTATGTAAAAGTAAAAACATAAAGGTATCCCTGTAACAGGCCTTGGAGGCCCATAGAATTGTGAGATGCTGAGGTTCCCACATTTTCTAGACAATCAGCTCATAGATGGCGGCAAGGTTGTCAGCCCTATGCACTGGCCGCCCTTTACCCACAAGAATATTCCAAGAATATCCCTGATACTCATTTCTGTTAGAGGCTGAGTCAACCCCAGGGCCATAGTGTGGCTGGAAGGATTAGGTCAACTGAAAAAACATCCCAAAGGACTTGAACCTGCAACCTTCCGGCTTGTATTTTAGTGCCTCAACCGACTACACTACCACATAATTATATTTAATATACATAACAATTTCTTCAGAATATATTTAAGCCTTCATTTAAGACAGGAGTCTTATAATTCTCAGCATTTGATTGATGCCAAATTCAATAAAAGTATGTTCACCTAAACTGGCATGACATGCTTGCATGAGAATACTCACTATTGGAACCAACTCATTCCTGTAAAGTGCATCTATTCTGACCAAAGAGCAATCAAACAACAGATGATAATAAGGAGGCATTTTAAGATGACTCACCTGCTTCCACAAGACTTTGAAGTTCACATTCAAGTTTCTTGATAGCCTCATTTAGTGCAGATAATCCCACAATTTGTCTGAAATGGACCATGAAAGATAAAGGCTTTTAAAAAGTAGAGTTCTGTACACACATCAATATTAAATACATATTGGAAGAGCACATGATCTATATTTTCTCATATAAAATCATTATGGGTGAAAGGATGGTTGAATGAATGAATGAGCATAGGCACATTAGAATCCCAAGAAGTGTCTGCATATGTGTATGCATGGAATAACTGTATGCACATAAAGTATGTCACTATACGAAACCCACTAAAATGGGTATTTTTATACTCATATTTTCAAATTGATTACCAAGATCACCTTCACAGTAATGACAAATTCTGGTAACTTAATTTGATTTAAGTTTTGTGATTTCATGGGGAATGTTACCATACAAGTGTCCACTTTATATATTTTTTTAATTAACCATAGTCCTTCAGTAAAGCATCTAGATGGAAATCCATTTCAAATAGAAATTCCTACTACTCAAATTACACCTGTACATCAACTGAAGCAGTACAGAAAATTTGTAAATGTGGTGTACAGTAAATCTTGCACAGACTGGTACTAATGTCTTAACTAAATTTAGTATCTGTGGTTAGAGAGAGGCCAGAATTGAAATTTCCAGTGATGTTCTTTCCTAGTGAATGGGTTACCAGTTGTCTGTAATTACATCCACATAAAGGGTAAGCACAAAACATATAGCAAAGTTTTATTTCATAGAATATGAACACAGTATTGGCAATGATACAATGGTGAGAGCAGACAAGTGCAAATTTGTGAAACCAGAACTAGAGGATGAAGGGAAGGGTGAAATCAGGACCAAGGCTGTAGAAGAGTGCAGTGTAAAACAAGGAACAGCAGCTCTGGAAGCAGCTGCTGATACGAGAAGTACATACATGGCAATACTATAAATCAGATAGGGGACCAATTCTTACGGAGGAAGTCACATCTGTCTTCTATAAGATTAAAATCCTTTGCCATATTCAGTCAAACAAGCAGGTTGTAAAACAAATAAACAATTTGGTAACAGAAGTTTTTTTGATTCCAATGTATAATTCAGAATAAGCTTTGCATATCTTGCCAATCAAAAAATGAGACAGGTCATAATCAGATCTATGTGAATCTCAAAGGAACAACTGATCCTAACTTAAAGCTGGACCATTATCCACTTCCACACCTGAAAGAAACCTTGATTACATTCTATTGGTAAATTGTATCTCTGTTGGACTTATCAGAGCTTGCATGCAATGAAAGGTAAATAGACATAGCTGGTGCATTTTCTGCTCTGCACATAAACAGCCCTATAATTCATGTAGTAACATGTTACCTAGTAGTTATTCTGCTTGCTCTAGTAAACAAAATGGAAGCTGAAGAAGAACTGTTGGAAGACATAAGATTTTTGAACCAGGAACATGTAAGAGGTGGGCATGCAGTAGCATAGCTGGTTTTGAGACACTATGCTATAAGCCACAAGGTTGTACATTAAATTTCTGATGAGGTAATTGAATTTTTCAGCTGACCTAATCCTTCCAGCAGCACTATGGCCCTGGGGTCAACCCAGCCTCTAAGAGAAATGAGTATCAGGAATCTTCCTGGGGTTGCATAAAGGGTGGCTGGCATGTAAGGCTGACAGCCTCACTACCATATGTGAGCCTACTGTCTAGAAAATGTGGAAGCCTTGAAGTCTCACAACCTTATGGATCTTCACAGCCTGTTACAGGGGCAGCTTTACCATTTTTTATCCCTTTTACCATGCAACAGTCATCCTAGAACTACTGTCATTCTTCATGGAGTCAGTCAAGTACTTGGGACCTGTCACTGAATCAGCAGGAACTCACTCTATGGAGGAATGGATAACCTTTTGCAAGATATAATTTCAGACATTACATAAGGATCCTACATTCATTGGCTGTCATGTTAAATATCAAAGTAACATCAACAAACAAAGTAACAAAGTAACAAAGTTACATCAAAGTAACTTTAAAATATATCATCTAATTAAAAATGAAATTCTGATTTTCATATTTGTTGACATAACTAGAGCTGTTTACAATTTCAGTAGGTCTAAGTTTAATCAGGGACATGCAGTAGTATAGTTGGTTGAGGCACTACGCTACAAACAGGAAGGTAGCAGGTATGATTCCCAATGAGGTCATTGTATTCTTTTCAATTGACCTAATCCTTCCAGCCGCACTATGGCCCTGGGGTCAACTCAGCCTCTAACAGAAATGAATATCATGAATCTTCCTGGGAGTAAGGTGCAGCTGGCACATAAGGCTGACAAGCTTACTGCCACCTATGAGCTGACTGTCTACAATATGTGGGATCCTCAATGTCTCACAATACTAAGGGCCTCCACAGCCTGTTGCACAAGTAGCTTTACCTTTTACCTAAATTTATTATCTTGCTCTCTTTCAATACAAATTTTAGAATGAGTTTCATGAATTTTAATACACCTATATAAAACAGACAACATACATAAAACTTTGAAAACAAATTTCACCAGCATCTGTACTTACCCAACAGAATCTGCTTCTGAAAACCCTAAAAAATCTTCGTGTATATCTTGTACAAGCTCAGCCAGTGATGGGATGTGTCGCCAGGTATTCTGTTGCTTCTGAAAAGTAGTTTTATAGTATAATATTAAAATCTTGTGTGTGAAAGATGAAAATTAAAAGGTGCCCAATAAGAAAACTAATTGAAGTATTGTATGTTAAAATAGAGTACAGATAAAAATCATAGTTTCAAACAGAAACAGAACAGAATATACAAATTCCTATGAATAACAAATACAAACCACTCCGTCCAATGCGACATATAAGTTTTACTACAAGAAAATCTAGGTTTTCATGTAGTAAAACTTATACTATGTCACATTGGACGGAGTGGTTTGTATTTGTAATTGTTAGCGTGATGGACCAGAATGAAACAAATAAAAAAAATCCTATGAATAAAGTTGCTTCAAAATCTGAACTCACTGTCCTGTTGATTGAATGAATGAATGAATATTTTATTAGGGCCATTAAAATTTACACTTCAGAGTTCTGTAGACTGACTCCTCAGTTCTGTGCTCCAGTATCCCACTTAAATTACCATTTCTGTAATATACAGCTCACATATTATACATTAACGTTTCAATTATACAATCCCTATTACTTCCCCTGCTAATCATCTAAATTTACTTTTATTTCAGTCTTGTTCTTTCTTACCATCCTCTTCCTTTTCTCATTGTATCTCATCATTCATATTTCTATTTTCTGTCACTGTTATTTATTCTTGCATTCTACTATCCTTCTAATATCTTTTTCTTCATTGACATTTTTAAACCTCTTGCACAAAATCTCATCCTTCCAAATTTTTGTTCCTTCACATCTCAGAATGTGGCTCCAGTCTTCCTCTTTGCTACATGTGGAGCAAATCTCTTATTCATTTTTTCTCCCCTCCCCAAACTATTGCATGTTTATTGCAAAGTTGATTGTTAGTACGACTGCTTAGCTGGCAGTCTGACAATCTGGCTTGTGTTTTGTGCATAAATATTCAAATATAACAACTGATAAATGATAAGTTTCCTGGTGGAACCTTATAATTTTAAATTTAATTTTAAGTACCCTGTGCCTTATATTATGAATTAGCAATTTCTTTGTTGTTTAATGAAAAGGTTCATTTTCCCCCAACATAATATTTAGAAGATCAGACTCATGTAAACATTTTTTTTTTCCCATCCTGAAGCTAATATTCCACAATACAAGTTGAGCTCTTTACTGATAAATACATTTTTTGGCACTCACAAATTCAACTTCCTAATTCAATACATCAATTTTAAATTTTTTGTTATCATAAGGTTTAGGACTTCAGTTTCTTACAAACATTTATAGGCACTCCATAACTGAACAATATCTCTCTCTCTCTCACACACACAGATATATATATATACATACATAGATACAGAAAAAGCAAGAAAGTTGTGTGCATGTGTGTGTGTGAACTTACATAGTTCCAAAACAAAAACAAGGCACAAATATCATTAACAATGTAACTGGAAATGTATGGGTTTGTTGTATGAATTAACTATTATAGACTTATACTATGTGGTATGAATAATTCTTATGATTTGGCAGACCACTAGAGGAGATGTTTTAGGAGTTCATATATAAAATATGCTGGTAGTCAGGTCACAAATATAGTACAACAAGTAATGTTATAATCTTCATTTTAATAACATATACGAAAAGTGTTTGGGAATTTTGTTACCGAACGCATTTTGTTATAAAAGTAACAGTTACAGTAATGTAGTTTCTTGAAACTTACACTGAGCACTTCCACATCCTTCCTCTTCATCTGATGTCTGAACTTGACACGTTTATTTCCTGTACTCCACTTCTTTTCCCCAGATTTTCTCTTTGTCACACACATGAAGTCAGGTTTTTTGGTACTCAACCCTATACAACAAAAAGATCGTACAATTGCTGAACAGAGGTTTTACTATGCTTACTACTGTTCCTATAAAAGAGACTCATATAATGTACAGAATGGATGATCTAGTAAAAATAGTAAATAGTAATAGTAAATAATGTAGCTCACATCTCACACACCCAAACATCAGCCATGTTTTTATTACTGATTGCAGAAAATTAAAAAGTACAATGTCAGAGCCATATCATATGATAACATTATCATCAGATGTTATGAAAATTTGTCAACTGGTGACATTTATGGTTATTTCCTAAACAGCAGGAATTAACAAAAGTAATTTCTCATATGCAGTGTCATGGCAGTATAATAATTATATTGTGATCAGGTATAAATAATGTTATAATACTGGTTAGAAAATCTGCAAAGCTAGTACATTACCAATGAACCCAAATTAAGAATCTTCCATTACTGATATCGAATTAATTAAAATAAGCAATTTTCCAAAGTGTATAACATCAGTTAATTAGTCACAAGTAAAACAAGAAGTAACTTTAAATTTTACCAATTCATACTGAATTAGAGAGATGCCATAAAGTATAATAAACAGGCTGTGTATCTAACTGTACTAAATTTGTCCTTGTATAAATACTTACCAAGTGAATGCAAAACCTTGTAGTTTTCCAGGATATTGTAATTTCGTTTTCTATCATATTCTGACATGTTTTTCCATTCATTTATTGTTAAAAAGCTGGACAGTTCTGTATACTTAATCTTATCCATTATATACTGACATCCAGTTTAACTTCATATAATAAATATATAATTAATATTTTTTAATTAATGTAATAATGAAGTCCATTAAAAATTAACTGTATGCCAATACCTAACAATTGCCGTGGTTTGTAATTAAATGTACACGTAATGAGTTCGCATACTTCTATTAATTAAGGGAAAAAATTAACACCTATTTGCATACATGACAGAAAACATGGACACCATTGGAATTCTTACAGAACTACTATTTTATAACGGAGGGACAAGTTCCAGATTCTACTGGGAAAACTAAATTATTATTCTGTGACAACTGACAAAACTTATTACGTGATACTACGTAAACTGAAGCACTTAACGAATTGAACTGAATGAACAAACTGTTTGAAGTGACACAACAGGTGTTGATTTGAATTAAAGTTAATTTGCCAAAAACCTTCAAGAACGCTGAAGTATCATAACTATATTTTTAGTAAGAAAAACAATAACCTATGAATAAATTCTTAGCAACCAAGTGATTAGTGCAGAAAAGAACTGAACATAATATCAACTTATTAGAACGCAAAAACAAAATGGCGATTTGAAAATGGCGCTATAATCAGTCACGAAAATTATACAGTGCTGCCGCCCTACTGAGAACTTCTCAATATTAACAACTCTACTTTCTTTACTAAAATTATTACTGAAATAAACAAATATGCCGTACACTTTAATATTTATTATTAATGTTATACTAATTTAAAATAAATTCGAAAGCACTTGTAACAAATCGAATAGAACATAATTTCGGAAAAACGTCGTTTGTGCTGCCATCTATTTCGTAGCAGTTTGAATGTCGAAGGGTGGGCGAAGATTGTGTGCTATTATTTGCAAGATATTTTGTTCTTTAAAATGCTAAATGTATGTACAAATGTCGAAATTTGATCTAGAAGTAGTATTCGCATACGTGGTCGTGCACTTATTTTGGTTTGTTACTTAAAGACCCTGTTAGTACGGAAACTAGTGTGGAAGATACGACGATGAAAGAATGCGAGTAGCTGCTGGAATGAGAATTGGCAGGGGAAACTGAAGTACTTGGAAAGCCTATGACACTGCCACCTCGTGTACCAACAATTCATTTATTTATAGTTCCAAAAAAATCCATAGAGGCATCTGCCTCAGATACCACATTATTTGACCCTGGATCGAACCCGCGAACAACCACCCGTTATGCACGCATCAAACAGCGCACGACTTAAGTGAACATAAGAAAGATTTCAACTGTTTGAAATGTATGTGCTTAGAATGAGGATTCTTTAGATCGTTAAAAATGGATTGTTAGGTTTGCAGCAATCATCAGAAATTGCATAGTATTCAATGGAATATACTACTCTGGAATAGCGGCCAATACTAGGTTCTTGTGAGCAGTACTTAACAGTGTAAGAGTTGAAGTTTTCACGGCGGTGACTGTGAAGAAAGCCGTCTTCTGGGATGTGGTGCCGTGTAGAAATTGTGTTAACCGACGTTTCGCCTCCATCAGGGTAGAAGACGAGAAGAAATCCGTGAGCGAACCAGCTAGAGCAGGTGGTGGTTCGCTTGCGGATTTCTTCTTGTCTTCTACCCTGAAGATGGAGGCGATACGTTCCACCGAAACGTCGGTTAACACAATTTCTACATGGCGCCACATCCCAGAAGACGGCTTTCTTCACAGTATTTAACAATGTTCATATTTCTTGAAAACTGGTTAGCTGGCTAAAAGGTTGAAATTTGGAGGGTATACTGACGATATAGTGATATTGTAGTTGTACTTTTTCTGTAAGATGTAAAAGGTTAACAGATTTGTAAGAAATGAAAGTAATGATTACCATCAATGGTGGTGGAACCAGTACTCCACTGAATTATACATATTTTCAAATGTGGTTCATATGCTATTTTGAATACATCATTGGCCTTCATGTTCATTTATGAGATAGAACACCTGTTGCAAAGCTAATTGCTGTACATGTGTCACACAGAGCAAAACTCAGAAATTATTTTTCCTTGTAATCTTTAAATATTCACTGTACAAAAATTGTTTAAAACTTGTAGACCTTTATTTCATGTCATTTACAAGTTATCTGTATAAGGAACTACCTCCTGAGAAAGTTTTTTAGAGTCTTATAAAGAATGTAACATGAGTATGCCTGACAATACAAACCAAAATTAAATTTACATGATAACTTTCAGTGTAAATCTTGAAAACCAAGTTTTTCAGAACCTGTTCAGTTGTTTTGTAGATGAAACTTCGATATATGGATATAATCTCCCACACATGCTTTCAGTTTGTGCAAAGAACATGTGCATGATTGATTACAGGACAGACCTCTCAAATCCAGCACCCTTTGGGCCACACCAGAGCCTGGCCAAAAACTGTTCCAACGCCAGGTGGTTAATATATTGCAGTACCAAAACTCCTAAATACGCTAATAAAACATAATATGTTAAGTGCTGTTACACAATTTTAAGGCATTAGTACAAAGAACAAGGTATAATGTAAGATTTGAGGCTTTCACGGCGGTGACTATGAAGAAAGCAGTCTTCTGGGATTTGGCACCGTGTATATGTGGTGTTAACCGACGTTTCGGAGGAACGTATCGCCCCCATCTTCAGGGTAGAAGAAAAAGTATAATAAATCTGCAAGCGACAACACCGTGAGAAACGGTAAAGCAGACTGAAGATGGGGGCGATACGTTCCTCCGAAACGTCGGTTAACACCACATATACACGGTGCCAAATCCCAGAAGACTGCTTTCTTCAACAAGGTATAATATTTGTGCTTAACAATCATTACGAACACCACCACCATTTACCGGTCTCTTTGAAGTCATATTTAGGGGCCATCCAGCAAACTAAACTTATGCTTGATTACAGACACTATGTCAGACTTGAGAGATTAGAAAATACATGTTCAAAAAACAGAAAATTTTTAAGGAATGGTTGGAGAGAAATTGGTTTATTTATTTTTTTTATTGCTAGTGGGATGGGACTAAGTCCCTTGTACTGCGGCCACTTCTGGCCTATTGTACCAACCCCAGATGATAGGTGAGGGTGACTGTTGAGCAATTGGTGGAATAAAGATTGGCAAGGGAAACTGAAGTACTCGGAGAAAACCTGCCCCAGCGCCACTTTGTCTACCACAAGTCCCACTTGACCAGACCCAGGATCAAACCTGGGCCGCCACAGTGGGAAGCCAGCGACTAACCGCTTGAGCTATGGCGCGGCCTGGAATTGGTTTATTTAACAAAACTGGCCATTCCACAGGTACGTACAGACTGTCCCAATGAAGAGGCAGAAACCAAGAAGTTGAGTCATGTGATGTCTGCCATATTCTTGAGGAACCAATTTGAATCTCAGCAAGGCCATCAGTTATCTGGACTGGGGTTTTTCTTAATTATCTACAGAAATGACAAGGTAGTATATCAAATTAGGCCATGACCACTTCCTTCCTCATCCTTTACAATTCAGCACCCATTAATCATACTACTTCATGTCATCCTGACTGGCTCTGAGCCCCACCCATTCTTTAATCTAATGGGAACTGGGGGCTCTTTCCACAGGGGTAAAGTGGCCAGTGTGTGAAGCTAACCACTCATCACCATTTAATGATGAGGTCAATGGTGGAGCTATAACTCCACCTTGTCAATCATCTTCATTGTATGGTGCTTAGTTAAGCATAGGGACAATTTTACCTTTTTACCTTTCAACTTTATACATGCTGAGCAACTGACATCATCATCATCATTAAATAAACAAGAGGGAAACCATAAAGAAAGAGAGGATGATTATAATTGCTAAGCCTGGAAGGAACTAACAATGGTCTATTTTAAATTTTGAGACTTAAATTTGCTTCAAGAGCTTGAAAAATTTAACGAATTAATATGCAAACTGGGAGCTTCCTAAATATGAAGCAAAAGCACATAATCATTATGACATTTGAAGCTATCACGCTAAATAAATGGACTGAAATTTTTTTGGGTAATCGTATCATAGTCGAGTCAAACACCAGTGTTTCAAAGAGCCGATCCACTGACAGCGACAGGTTAAACATGTCAAGAGGACAAGCTTATGATGGGCTGTCATTCTTCAAATTAAGTAGCATGGTATAAGGTCCAGAGTGCAAGTGAGTATTACTCAGTTTGACTTTGTTCTCCTGTTGCCCAGTACACCAGTATGAAGAGGCATTGCCCTGAATGACTTGTACAGTGTGGTCTATAGACCCACTGCTAAGCAGTGACTTTGTAAGCAGCAGCCGTTGCTCAGTAATGCCCACAACAGAAGAACAGTATTTTCTGTGTGGTCTGTGCCACGACTGTTGCTATGCAACAGCACAGTAAACACGCCTGTACAACAATAGAGGGGCCGTGTTTTCCGCATGATCTGTGCTGAAGAGTTATCTTGAAGACAACTGGCACTATAGTTTAGTTCAGTTGAAATTTAGTTCATCCCGTGTGGAGGCAAGGTCAAATACATCACCCTGAGTAGAAGCCGTTGCCAGGAAATGGCAAGTGGAGACTAAAAGACTGAGGACACTAGTTTGTGTGTGTCAGTGATCTGTAAGGTGTAATTATGAGTGGTGTATACAAGTGGTCGATAAATCCATTCACCAATCTATACCCCATCTATAGTCACACACCCCTAAATTGTGAAGTATTTATCAAAACCTACAGTCCCCACAAATTCTGATGATTGAGGAAGAATAAGTTTCCAAAACATTGGTTTTTGTTTTTGATGTAACTGATTGCCAGTGAAGATTATAGTACTAACTATTACACTGTGATGTTTGATGATACAAATGAAAAAGATGTAACATAAGAATCACAGAGAGTGAAAGGTAAAAAGGAAAGCTCCAAGACTATAAGCAATATGAAGAAACACAAGTGTCGACATAACAGAAAGCTTTAACTCTTAAGATATGCTGATTACAGGTTGATTTTGTTGATTTTCTTTTGTGTCGTGCTTACATATCACTTAACAGCCATACTGGATGAGAAGAAACTTTTTATTATAATGCAAAACAAAAACAAATGAATATAGATCACTATTACCAACTTGAACATTTTTATATTACTAATGTGGGAACATCCCACATACTATCATGCTATTTCTACAGCGCTCACTTTTCACCATCATGTGCGCTAACCAATCAAATTGCTTCCAACGCTCGCATTTATACAGCATTTGCTGTCTAGCCCACATCCACATCATTACGTGCGCTAACCAATCAGCGCTCTGCAAATTTCGCTCCTCCGCCAAGCATTGTATAAAAGGCAGAGCACAAACTCACA